CTACACTTCTTCCTGAAGATCTAAGCCAATCCATCCCATCCCCTTGGGTGCGCCCGACACGGCGGCAGCAGGCGTCTGCAAATCAAGGGCGCCCACAGTGGACTCGGACGCCAGTGGCACCTGAAACGCAGCTCAGAATGGTGGAAAACCTAACAGTTTGATATGGATTTACCCTCTGGTAAACGTACAAAAAACTATGGAAAATCACCATTTTCAAGGGGAAAATCCACTATAAATTGTCATTTTCAATAGCTATGCAACAAATTACCAGAGGGCATATGGGGATATAATTTGATAATGATTTGATAATCATGTTTCTTTGGATCTAAGGGAAAATTCTGGGGATTTTTTTAATGAGGATATGGGAAAATCATTGGACTCTACCAGTAGGTAAGCGGGATTTATATATAGGGAGATAACTGGGATTTGCTTGGGGTATAATTCGAATAATTGGGATCGGGAATCTACCCTATGGCGTCCTCAAACATGGCTAGCTGGAAACTCTCGAACTCAATAAAGGTTGAGTTCGCCGGGAAAATCATGGAACTAAATGATGGATTTACCAATGCTATGTTTGATTATCTGAGTGCAAGTGGCTTTACAACTACCTTTACTATAGACCGAACTTGTTACATAAGGGTTAAAGCCTTTAGCAACTCATAACTAAGGGGCCCCACGTTGTGGGCAATGCGGCAAGGACGTCCCTTACTGGATAATCAGTATCTATCTCACAATATTGGTCAATATTGAATACATATGAATGTGCAAAATGATGGGGTTAGATACATAAGTTGTAAGTGGCACATACTCCATATATTTCTGTATATTTATCCCACATAACATACAACTATGTAATGATCATTTGTCATATTGCACTTAGAATGACCATTGGTTACCACCATGTAGGGATCAATATATAAACGTGAGCCTCAAATTTGACATGGAATCCAACAAGGGCCATATGCAGCAGTAAAGTCGTCTTCCAGACCCAATCGTCAGGTCCCATGCCAAATGTAGAGGGGGTATAAACATTCCAGCATTTTAATGCTTAAGAACGAACCTGTCTATCTTGGTCATGGACAGTAACTATCCAAATGTGGATGAATTTGGAGCAACTTTCCCATTTTTTTCGGGATGTTGGGACTACCCGGCCCTGGTGGCAGCTGTCCCCAGCAATAGGGTGCGTTTTTGCTGGTGTGGTTTGACCTGAACTTAGAGTCTTTGTTGGAAAACTTTCACAGTTTGGTAGTATGTAGCTATCCAAGTTTGGAAGTATACTATCCATTAATGATTACAAGCAATGATTCTTTGGTAGTTTGGGTTTGACCCATCAGTTTTTTCAACGGGAAGTACAGATATCTGAGGCCTCGTCGTTCAATGGATGGGAAGATCACCGTGCCAGAAGGGAGATACAGTCAGAACGAAACATACTTATCACTGAACGAATAGTACAAAAAAAAGGTAGAGAAACATGCACATATGTAAACATATGCAATATATACATATACATATACAATATATACAAAATATACAAAAATTACAATATATACAATATATACAATATATACAATAGATACAATAGATACAATAGATACAATAGATACACTATATACAATAGATACAATAGATACAATAGATACAATATATACAATATATACAATATACACAATATATACAATATACACAATATATAGATACAATATATACAATATATATATATATTATACACAATATACAAAAAATACAAAATATACAAAATATACAATATAGACAATATATACAATATATACAAAATATACAATGGATACAATATATACAATATACAAATATACAATATATACAATATATACAATATATACAATATATACAATATATACAATATATACAATATATACAATATATACAATATAGACAATATAGACAATATATACAATATATACAATATATACAATAGATACAATATATACAATAGATACAATAGATACAATAGATACAATATGTACAATATGTACAATATATACAATATATACAATATATACAATATATACAATAGATACAATAGATACAATAAATACAATAGATACAATATATACAATATGTACAATATATACAATATATACAATATGTACAATATATACAATATATACAATATATACAATATATACAATATATACAATATGTACAATATATACAATATATACAATATGTACAATATATACAATATGTACAATATATACAATATATACAATATGTACAATATATACAATATATACATTATATACATTATATGCATATACATATACATATAGATATACATATACATACACATATATCATACATCATGTAATACATCACACTATTGCGTACACGCACTCAAAAAAAATAAGTGCGAATGAAGCGATTGGGCAGCCATCTCCAAGTTGGAAACAACATCAGCATCCATTCCACCTCCCAAACCCTGGCAACTACCTGGGCAATTGCTTTGGTTTGGGATGTTCGTACCCCAAAAAAATGAGATGCCATCTACGGATCTAAGATGGGTTGATAATTGATCTAATTTCAACATTGTTGGTCGTTCAACTCACTCTTATCCGTTTGAAATCCATGGACATTCCATTGAAGACCATCTGAATCTCTCAATGTAAGTTATACTCCATGAGATTTCATTGCAATGTCCATTGAAGAATCATGAAAATTCCATGAAAGCCAATGAAACTAGATCAATTCCATCATCCATTTTTTGAATTTCATCCAAAAATCCATCCAAAAACCATCCAACAATCCAATCAAAACCATTCGAACTCTGTCTCAAAAGACGAACGTTTCTTTTTTTTCAGCGCACCTCTGGTACATCTTGGATTTCTCCCCGAGCTCCTGTGGCCTACCGTACGGACAGAAAGAGTGTATATTTTATGTAGATGAAATATATACTGGCACTAGTAGAAATATATTTTATTTAAATAACATGAATACAATATATATATATGAATTGCACTGTAGAAACATGAATTGCACTCATACATAGTATATAGTTATATATAATAGTATACTACTATGTATCCATAGTGCAAATTATTATGTTTCTATGAATGATAATATATAATTGTCAGTAGTTTCTTTGGATACATATTTAGGTGTCATTAGTGCAATTTATGTCAGTAGTTATAAATGATACTAAAAATATTATTACTGACATAAACTGGACTAGTTAAACATGATTCTGAGGTAGTGTTGTCATATCTAGTGTAAATATTGGAAATATCATGCTATGGACTATAGATAAAACATTACGATAATACTAGAAATTGTAACATGGGTCGCTATATTAATGATGACAGTAATTTATGATAATAGTGAATAATTATTCAATTATTATCGGTTGTAGAATAGATCCTGATCTAATGAATACCTAATATCTAATCAACAACCAATATAGATACTAACTCTTTAAAATGCTCATTGGGACTTGTTCATTAGATTTTACCAATCCCGAACATATGGATATCATTGGGAATCATCATCCCATGTTCATGGTTAAAAACAGGATTACCCTCTACATCCCTCTATTAGATTGATAGTTTGGCCGTGAAAATAACCACCAATTCTTAGTGGAAAGTAATCTTCCAACCCCCGACTGATGGCAGGGGGTCTACGTCACTTGGGAGGACCTCCAAGATGATAGTAGTTGAATTAATATATAGTCACTGTTCTACTGAAACGGTCAACTTACTATTGACTACAACAAGGTGTGTTTACTGATTCTGTATGTATTGGTTGTCATTGGCTAAGTCTCAGGATGTTCTGGAAGTTGTTGTTTTGTATTTATTTCTTCTGGTTTTTAGCCAAGTATTGGTGAAGTAACTGTTATTTCTATTGGTCAACATGCTAGCATAACCCATCAACATGACTAGATATAAACATGTATTTGAAATGATTGTTTTTAACGCCTCCACAATGATAGCTGATAAAACTATTATACAGTTGCTATCTTGTTGAAGTAGGTTCTTTACTAGTTATCTTTAAAGGTGTCTTCTCTGTGTGTGTAATTTTAACCGTATTTTGATGTGTCAGGATAAATCAAGATATCATGATGGTTTGAAGACCTTGGAGTTGGTATATAGTTCGATTGAAACCATGTACATGTAGATACGTGATTTGTATGTATAATTATATGAAGAAATAGTTATACAGTTATACATTACATGGCATGCATGGTTTCATTTCAACCTTCAATGTGTTTAAGCACCCTGATCTTCAGGTCCCAAGGCCCCAAGGCCCCGTTCGGCCGGTTCGGGTCGCCGCTGCCCAAGGCGGCCTGGCCAGCTCGAAACTTCATATAATCCGCACGGAAAGCTTGAAGCTCATTGAGCTCAATATCCTGGAAGATGCTGCTGCAGATGCTAACCTGAGATACTCTGGATATACTCTGGATATACTCTGGATATACTCTGGATATACTCTGGATATACTCTGGATATACTCTGGATATTCCTGGATGTTGTTTGGACTCATATCATGGCTGTAAAATGCTGTAAAGGCTACAATACTCTGGTGCAGCTCTATATTTAAGAAGAACATCATCCATGGGAAGTTTCTTTTTGTCAGCTTAGAGTACATCCAAATGTGCATCCCAGCTACGTGGCCAACAACCCTATTACGACTCAGTGACAAAAATGTCTTAGTAGCCACTTACCCACTTACCAAGTGGGATGTCCCAGGGCTTCACCTCAACCACCCATCTATTTCAACAGCCAAGACTGTCTCTGCGGCTTCAACCCATTTGCAACGCTTACCCTCGAGGAAATTTACAGTGGCACCCTGAACATAGCCCACTTTTTCATTGTGGAAACTCATCTTCCAACCCCCGACTCATGATACTCATGGCAGGCTTGTCATGTTCATCTGGGGGATGATAATCAATGAGTAAAACCATCAGCTTTCGCAGTTCTTCGGCTGCGTGGACCGTCACACTCCCGTCCTTGGGCAAGAACTGCAGAGGCGGACCAAGCGATGCCTGTTTGACCCGTCGAATCTTTGGGCATTGGGGTGGCCTTGCGCCATGGCAATAATCCCTTCCTCCCCCAAAAAAAACACTCCGCAGAAACCATGATGTAGTAGAGGATTTAAACATATGTGGGACCATAGAATGAGGGTGTTTGATATCATTGGGATGAGTTTATTTATATGTGGATAATCATAGGTACAAATAAATACTACCTATCAATAGTTCTGAATATCTATGCACACTCCAGTAAACTCACACAGCTATGGTATACTGCAGATGGCCCAGTTATAGATAGTAATGTCCTATGTTAATGATGTTTTTCCTAAGCAAACCACCAGTCTACCAAATGTATCCAAATGTCGCTTGTACTGTCCCCTCAAATGGCATCAAATAGCAATATCCACTAAAATCATCTCCCAGACATGTTTGGAGCTTCATGTCATTATCTTTATGGGCTGTACCTCCACTCATCATGAACAGTCACGGATTGTTTAAGATGGCCATGTTGCGGGAGGTCAAACCGGCAAACCCTCCAGGCGGCTGCAGTCATTTCCCCCCCATCTTTGTTTGAAGGGGCAAACCCTTGCAAGCCCTGGCAAAAATGCACTATTCTTGCATGGTCATCAAGTGCACTGGTCACATCAAGTCACATCATCAACTCCGCATTCTTGAAATTTTCCATGTTTTTGTCCCAATGAAATCCACATTTCTTATAGAAAATCCCAATGATATCCCAATGATATCCCAATTTTCCATGTTGTCCGAATTTGTTGCGGCTTTGTAGAAAATCCCTTGTAGGAAATCCCCTAGGAAATCCACATTTCTTAACTCACCTCGGAGAGCCAGGGCTGCGAAGCACCGCTCAGGTCTTCCTGGCCAAAATGCAAATCATGAGGTTTACAAATCATATATCTATACCTGGATATTCATTGGTTACAAATTTCTTTCCAGGGCAGATTTTGGTTTGATTTCTGTCCATTTTCTGTAGATTATTGCAAACGGACAATTATTTGTGTCCTTTCGAAGATCCAGGTATATATATATATATATACCCAGATGCTCCATGTATGGTGTATACATATACATATATATGGATATATATATATATATGATATATTTGCCTACATGACTGGGTGATTTATGTTGGGCAAATGTTGGGATTCATATTCCAGCACCATGGAGCATCTGGGATATAATATATATAATATATACATATATATGGTTAGTCTATAAGATCTATATCTATCTTTGTCAAATATCGTACTGCTTACCCTGGGGTTTGCACTAACTTTTTACGTCAATTTGACCTATGATTTCAACTTCCCGAAAATGATCTACTTAAATTGTGGAAGTCAACACCACGAATCTAATATGGTACTATGTGTCTATAATATGAACAAAAAACATGCCGGTTGTATACTAGATATATCTAGAATCTAGATATCGATTTTTTTATATGGATATTGATGATGGATATCTCGAACTAACTGGATTGGGTGCTTTTCAACCAATGTAGACAAAAACTGCTTGGCCCTTTGGCCCCTTCCTTCATGACCGGTCGATTTGTACCCCGGGGCCGTAAGAAATGGCTGATTCGCCAAATAGAATGCAGGTCCATATATATATATATGTATATACACATGATTTGAAGGCAGATGTTTTTTCTTTATGTCGGTTGTCTGAAAATAGAGTATGCGTCATGTTTTTTCCTATCAAAATGGTAGTTTGGGGGTCTCCCCAATTTTCTCAACCGATAGCGTACCTGCTCTTCCTCGGAATCCTCGACGTGCAAAAAGGTGTTCTTCACAGAGTAGACAAACTTGTTCTCCCGCCTGGTGGACCCCCGAGAATTGGTAAGCTTAGGGAGGAAACATGGAAACATCTTGTTCACTTCTATTACCATCTGGTTATTTAACATAGCCATGGAAAATTACCCATTTATAGATGGTTTACCTGGGTTTACCTATTAAAAATGGTGATTTTCCATGGCTATGTTAAATAACCAGATGGTAGCTGCAGATTGTCCCTACTTGTCATATTTCCAGTGGATAATCCCATGTAATGATCCCGGAATGAGATTTCGAATTGCTTGAGGGAACATCAGGGGTGAACCCGGGGAACCCGTATCCCTATGTGTATATACACAAATATATTATGATACCCTCTGGTTATTTAACATAGCCATGGAAAATGGCCCATTTATAGATGGTTTACCTATTAAAAATGGTGATTTTCCATGGCTATGTTAAATAACCAGATGGTATATTATATATTGGAGTAAAAACATGATTTGCTGTAGATTTTCGCTTAAACCAATCCAGTGATGGTGTGCCCATTTTCTGACAAATCACTTTTGTCGATGCCATCCTCATGACCACCATCGGTCCTCATTGTCTTTGTCATACGTAGTTACTGTATATCATGTTATATCATGTTATATCATGGTATATCATGGTATGTCATCATATATCATCATATATAATCATATATAATCATATATCATCATATATCATCATATATCATCATGTAACATCATATATCATCATATATCATCATATATCATCATATATCATCATATATCATCATGTATCATCATGTATCATCATATATCATCATATATCATCATATATCATCATATATCATCATATATCATCACATATCATCATATATCATCATGTATCATCATGTATCATCATATATCATCATATATCATCATATATCATCATATGTTATCATATATCATCATATATCATCATATATCATCATCATCATCATCATCATCATCATCATCATGATCATCATCGTTCCGTTCGAACCCCTGTTTCTCAATGGTAAAAGCCTTGGTTTTCCATGGTATCCCATTGGATGAACATGACGTTAAGACCGATGGGAAATCCTCGCCCTGGTTGCCGGTCTCCCTCCATGGTGTTGTTGCGGCTTTAACCACCGGTGGTGCCCCCTAGTTATGTTTGTTGGATGATGTTGGTTAAAAAAACGCCAACTATTGATTGTTCAGCACCATAAACATCCAAAAACACTGTCATAAAAGGTTCAAACATAGTTTATCACTTTGTTGTATGAACCCTAGTTTAACCTATTATAGTTGACCTTTATAGGTTTGTTATACACCAACTGGGGCCCCACGTTTGGCCACGTTTTGCAAAAACAAATTGGGCCACCAGGCGGGTCGCTGGGCTGGTCCTGCCTGGTCACCCGAGAGGGTCCAACAGAATATGTTAGGAACATATACAACATGATTGGATATAAATAACATAACCAATAAATTGTTTAAACATAATAAACAATATAGCATTGGTTATATATATAACATGTTTATACAGATATAACACAATAGCATTGTTTATTATTGGTTATGTTTGGTTATATTTTATGTATCATGGGGTTCTTTTCATGGCATTTCATGGGATATACAACATATAACCCATCATAAACCATTGTAAACCGTAGTTTACCAATCGAACTGGTGACCCAATAGGACATCCTTGGCGTCGTGTCCCTCTGCAAACTTAACATAGTCATGGATAATGGCCCATTTGTAGAGGATTCACCTATGAAAAATGATGCTTTTCAGCAGCAAACTGTTGACCAGATGGTAATCACGGGGATTTTTGTCATGCCATTTCATGGGGATTATTTCATACATAATCCGCTGACTATGTGCCATGGTCAGGTCATATTTTGTATTGGGTACGGCCATCCCACAATAGGAATCCCAAGAATGTGTATAAATCGCTCATGGATTGATGACTGTCCAAGGTGCGAAATTGACCAAGTTTTGGCGCTGGTTTCAACATGGTTTCCACAAACAAATGGATTGATATGGAGAATGGGTCACAACCAAACTGCTGTCCTCTGATCAAATGAACGTCACCACAGCACAGTTATTTTGATGGGATCCATCATCCTGCTCTTCGGGGACCCAACGTCCAGCTAGGAATCATTCGGATCGCCCATGTTTCCGACGGGATATTGCACACTGATGGGCGTACTGCTGGTGAATGGCTTTATAATCTCAATCAGCTCGCAAGCAAAGCTATATATCCTATATCTTGTAGGGTCCATCATGGTAGGTATCGAAAGCACGAAGCAAGTATCTGCATGGGTGCATTTCAATCTAAATCCTACGCGATGCCCCTGGACGACGGGAAAACAAGGATTCATATAGTACTGGGAATAGAACGGATGGGGATTTAGTCCACCAAGAATGGGGACACGCGACTAATGAAAAAGCCATTGTCAACTGCAGAATGTGAAGGGTAAACATTTGTGCATGAGATCCTTCTTGAAGGCAAGCTTAAGCATAGATCATAGTATTTGGGTGTACTTGAACAATGACAATCTGGGATGCATGACCCTGACAGTCTTTATAGGGATGATTCACTCACCATCTTTATGGACAAAGACCCTCGCCGCGCCCGCTGCCTTTCCATGTTTGCCTGCATGGGGGCCTGGCCGAGTTGCTGTTGTATGTTTTGGGGGACCAGTTGACACAAACGTGGCTAGTCATTTTGTGTAGTTAATGTATAATCATCATCAACCATCCATTTTTGTGGGACTATGTAGATTTGATTTTGAGCCATTCACATGAGTTCTGTGAAGCCAAAGATTTACTGTATACTCACTGTTAGTACAAGAAAAGAGAAAAGTTATGGGGGGAACAACTTGAAGCCATAGCCATGCGCCATAGGGAGCATATTGACTTCAAGTATGGCAGTGAAGGGTATTGCAAAAGGGTATTGCAAAATGACGCTGGCAAGTTCCCAGGAGTATCAGCAAAGCTGACCAAAACTGATGATAAACAGCTCTTAAAAGCGGACTATGATTCTCATGTTTTTTGACTGGATGAGGAGCACCAAACCGGAGCAGCAACTCAGCCACTCCTTGCAGCCACTCTGACAGAGTGGATGAGCTAACCCTGAACCAACCTTAAAATACCCCTATATATGTACACATAACTATATATATATACATATATATATATACATATATATATATATACACATATATTATTATATATATATATTATTATTATAAATATACTATATTATATATATATTATATATATATATGTGTACCAATAATACCAACCATGAATAAACTTTGTCCCTACATTCCCCAAATAAACCCTAAACATCCCTAAACCAACCCAGCTTTCTATGTATCGAACTACCTCACCATACAATCAACGCAGACAGACCGACCAATCGATCATGTGCAGCCACTCCGCCACTCACCTACCTACTGCTGACTAGATCCTGAAATGTTCAATGATCCAAAACTTTTTGGACATTTTGGACATTCAAACCAGTTAAACCCCCCATCTGTTTGATAAATGCACTGATGTCTTGCTGAAACTTCCTGCATTTCTTGTTGAAGTTTGCACAGCCATTGGTCGAATTCGTTGGATGTAGCTGCTCATATCCGATCCCCATATTTGCTATACTTATTTGTCCATATTTAATGTTGGTAAAATCATTTAAAATCATCATCGCTGGAAATAACTATATAAAAGAAAACACTTAAGTCCAATGGCTGATAAGATTTAAGTCATTTAAGCATACAATATTTATGTTCCACCCTGGAGTATTAAGCCATCATTAATTAATGTTATTCACCAACCATGATGGTAGTCGCTTTCTTCGCGCCTCAGCACCGAGACCAAAGCGATTGATGCCATCCTGGTTGAGGCTGGGGGTCTACCATCTGGTTTGCGAAAAACGTGGCAAGCTGGGAGATCCCACATGAAGCTTAAAATTGTTGCGAACATCATCCGAATCGAGTGCTGATTTTCCATTACCGGAGGGGAATTGGCACCAAAACTGGTGAATTTTCATGTAGCTCTTTTGTTGGAGATGATTCAGCATAGGTTCATCAACATAAATGGTAGTTTCTGCGGGAATTTTTAGGTACACTTAAGTTACGTCCTGCACAGGTGGTCCTGCAAGTAGATGGAACATCCGGGGTAGCCAAATGACTCCGCAAACACCACTTTTCATGGATCTTAATGGTAGATTCTCACAGATCATCGTCTATACTTCATTGCTTCGTGCGCGATATATGCTAAGCTGAGTTGACCACTCTCGCAACGGTATCCTCCCAGTGCAGGTCAGATCAACCCAGTCCTGTTGTGGCGGGTATCCTCCAGGGAAGATATTGTCAGAGAAGCCTGGCATACCTCCAAGCTGCACAAAATCACCAAGTTCCAGGTGGCCCAAATGTCTTGCTTACGTCCCAAAATCATCCAAAATCCAGGGTCAATAGTTTGTAAATGCGTTCAATGCCCCAAAAAAGATCCAGAAAGGCAGGTACCATATCTATATATATCTAGTGGGGTGTTTCAATCCCTGAAAAATCTTTATCATCGGGAATCATGGACTCATCATCACAGTGGGGAAACCGAAGATCGGCTGAAAGGCCAAACTCTGTACCTAGCGAACCTAAAACCTAACATGTTGTAGGTTTTCTTTTATCCAAAAACCTGTTTTTTCCGCATTTTTTCTGAACATATATAATTATTAGGTTTTACATTTGTTCCTAAAAACCTGGTAATTGAGTAAATACGCATTTCTAGATATCGTTTGGTGCAGTTCATCACATTTTATTTGCAGCAACATATCCCAACCCTCCCTTTGATAGCCCGCCTTGCTTTGGGTCACCCATAACCTCGAATAGCATCCTCAAGTCCAATCTAAAGATTTGGGTTCCCCAAATTTCCTCCCCTCCGCAGCTCTTTTTTTTCACAGCTTCGTCAGCTTGCCCCTCCAAACACGTGGGCCCGGCGGGCCGAAGTTCGGCACCGGTTGATTCACCGGCATCCGGATCTTGGGGGCATCGGTCTGATCCTTCAAGCGCGCTTGACCAAAAAGTTTCATGAGGCACTGGTAGGCCAACAAACTTTGCCTCGGTGCCAAACATGCTGTGAAATCCTCGACAAAACACCTCCCATAAGGCATAAATCATCATAAATCTGATTGTTTTTCAACAAAAAATGAAAAAAAAAATTGGACCAGGATGGACCAGGTATTTGGCCATGATCTTTGTTGATCTGTGGGGCAGGTGATTTTTAAACACCGATCTGTGGCCCCGCCTCCAGCTACCCACCATAATGAGTCTCCCAAAGCCTTCGCGGCGACTGGCGTCCACTTCGATGCGGGCAGTTGACGCTTCAGACACCGCAGATTTCCAGGATGATCTCAGGAAACTCAAAGGAACCTGCGATTTTGGCGACTATATGGACGATTTATGCCAGATGTGTGGCATAATCTACCTGAAACTCGGATTTCGGATGTGTTTTGACGTGTTCAGGACATGTTTTAAAGGGATTATGGGATATTGAAATGCATGGGATATAGAAATTGTGGGAATTATGGGTCGACAATGGTTACATGGGGCCCCGTGGTACGATAGTTGAGTTGGTCAAAATCATTACTTGGACAACATGGTTGATGGTTTCTCCAACTTCCATATCTTCCATGGATTGGTTTGAAAACTACAGGAAAAACAATGAAATTTCATGAGAAAAGCAATGGTGTCTTCGAGATCTTCGCTTCAACCAAACTGGGGCGCCCACCTGGTCATGGGCAAAGCATAGTCCTTTTACATCCTTTTACAGTAGATTCCGGGAAACAACCATCATGGATTTGCCGATCTGCCTGGAGTTTAAACAGACTCTCCCATTAAAAAACATATAAATTTACGTGTTGTCCCATCATGGTTTTCCTGTGTAACTTCGAAAATTGGAACCTGGTTTCTCCCATCATGAAACTCCAATTTTCGAAATTCCTGAAAAACTGTTCTTCAACTCCAATTTTGTCCCATCCTGGTCCTCTTGTCATCTCTTGTCCCCCGCTCCGAGAGACTTCCAGAGATGTGGTCACCAATTTCGACAGCGACGTCACGTCCTTCTCCGAGGATGAGGAATCCGCAGAATCCGCGACGTGGCCGGTGCTGGGTGGACTGGGTGGACTGGGTGGACTGGGTGGACGGTGCCAACCTGGTGAGCCATTCCAAAGATGTCGGTGTCAATGCATCCCAGTTCGGATTCATGTTTTGATGGTTGAAAATCAATATAAAATAGTGTAAATATGTGTAAATATATAACATAAATCTTAAGCTCCGGTACTTGAACATGGCAACTCCAAATTCCCCATTCATCGATTCTCCCACTCTGCATTTGGGATTTTCCAACTTGCCATGTTGACACCGGATATCTGAAACCACCAGCCAGCAACCTTTGGCCACTTTTCCTTTCCCCTTGCCCTTGCCCTTGCCACTACTGCTGAGATCAGATGGTTCGGAGGCGCAAGATCTCAAGCCAGCGGCCCAGCCATCGGAGGACACGCTGCAGGAGCTTTCCCTTCGCAGTTTCTGGGGCGTCTCCTAGAGATGCAGGTTGAAAACTAACCTGCGATGAATCCCAAGTGTTAACCCCCAAAAGATGTGTTTCAAGAAAATTGCAAACATAGTGTGGTTTTTGTTTGGTTCACGTTTTTTTTTTGCTATCTTTTTGGGGGTTACTATACATACAGGATCCATTCTTCACAGTGATACCTTTTTGCAGATGCATCCGCTTGACAAAGTAAAACCAATCCTTGGCTTTCGCCACCTTACGAAATCCAGGGTTTGCTTACGCGACCCAGTCATATGACACAACTCTGCTCAAAGTGTATTCAGGGGTTTCTGATTATGCTCAAATGGAGTCTGAAATCGTCAAGTCAAGTCAAATGGCCAACTTTGTGGGCACCCTGGGTGGGTTCAACTGCCATTGAGGATCAATATCATCGTCCCAAGGATCGAAACAGCTTTTCAACCCCCTGTTCACAAACCTAACCTTCGATACATTTGCAGTGGCTCAAAATTTACCTGAATGAACCATCAAAACACCAAAGATTTCTGGTTGGTGGTTCTAGAATGTGTTAGATAACCTATCCCAAAATATGAGTCATCTCAACCAACCATCCAAGTATCCTCGACCCTCCACTGCTGAGGAAGAAATGGTCGTTCTAAGAAGATAGGTCAAACCAAACAACCCAAAAAATGATTCACTTTGTTCTAAGCATGTATGTTTCTGGGAAATCTCAGCACTACGTCCACATACACTGTACACAAAATGTGAGGAAGTTTGAAACTCTAAAAATGAGAAAACTACCTAAAACAACGAGATTTCAGTGATTTGCGAATTTTTGTGGGTGTTTTGCGGCTTTTCGGGGTTTTGCGGGTTCTTTGCTTAGGCGTTTGAGGCGCTGGAAACATTTTTTGGCCTTTTTCTCACCAAGGCCCAATGAAAAATGACAAAACGTAGCACAGCGTAGAGCTGCCAGTGCGCAAGAACATTCCATCAACGTAGCATCAACTAGTTCCGCAAGCGTACATGGACGCTATTATCCCACCCCACCCCACCTCCCCCCACCCCCCCAAATCATATACTTTCCATGTGCGGTGACCACGAAAATCGCAACGCCTACACGGTTGTAGAAATACGTGTCACCAAAAACATGCAATCAAAGTCCTAAAATTTTGAAGACCACAGTATAGTATCTACAAGTAGGTGTTTTGGGTAAAATTGGTCGATATAGGTCAAACTCCGAAAACACTGATATTTCCTAGGATTTGCAGGGTCGAGGATGCTTTAAAAGCCATTAAAAAAAAAAACATCAATTTTCCAAACGTCCACCATCCCCATCCTCTCCTGCCCCTGCACCTTCCCCAAGCGACTCCAGCGGCTGGCCGATGGGGCCGGGACCGCAGCCGGCGCGGCCAAGCGTCGACTTTTGGGGGGTGGGTAGAAGGAGCGTCCACGACCGCTGCCGCTCTCGACCATTGCTGTGTTTTCGTGATTCGAATCGTGTAGATCTAGTCATCCGCAAGGAGATAGAAGAGTAATCTACCAAAAATTGGCCACATTAGTAGGATCTTACAATTTTGGGTGGTGCATGGTGGTGCTATAACCGGATCGTCTTCGTACCCAAAAACATCAAACTTCTCACAGGTAGCAGTGTAGCAGCGAAGGAATTACCAAAAAATGTGACACTACGAATACAAAAAGATTCAAATCGGTTCACTCAGTACCCTCTGGGAAACTAACATAGCTATTGAAAATGGCCATTTATAGTGGATTTTCCCATTAGAAATGGTGATTTTCCATAGTTATGTTAGTTTACCAGAGGGTAATGAACAATTTGATCGTCAACGTGTCAACTTTCAACTTTTTAGCTGTCAAGCACCTTGAGCCATAGCCAAATCTGAAAGTTGATATCCAACGGTCCCAGTATCCTTCGGTACCGCATCGCCCAGAATTATACTCGTTGCATGGTTGAGAACAGGATTCCCCTAATGGATTATGATAGTCCCGAGTATATTGGGTATAGAATAGTCTAGTATAACTCCCCAGAAGAATCAACCAACAGGTGTTTTGAACATATATAATCCTATATAATCATCATCTCATTCGATTCTTTTCGCAGTTATCTATATAGATAATATCTGGTTGGTGGTTGAGCCACCCCTCTGAAAAATATTAGTCAGTTGGGTGCTATTATTCCGAATATATGGAAATATATACCTCCATTGAGTTCGGAGATTTCAGTTTCATCCCGGGCCCTGGAACTCATCCAACCCGCCTGATTGTGACCACCCCGACATCGCCTTAGGATGTGTCGGACCTTTTTTTTGGATCCAGCTGTTGATTCATGTATTTCCCCATTTAAGAAAAGGAAGAACACACATACAGTAACATAACCCCCTATTTTTGGACAAATCCATGGAGTAGGATTCAAATGGAGAATCTAGCGAGTAGATCTTGTGAAGACGCGAGACGCTTTGAATGAAATGGGATGCCTTCATGCTTCAACAGAAACGGTATCTGTTTTCTCTTGTAATGTCACCTCACTCGATATCTTCGTTGAAACAACACCGTTCAAAAAGAGGAGGGCCTTCGAAAGAGATCGTCTAATAATCCTATACTGGCTGGTGGTTTTAACCATCTTGAAAAATATTAGTCAATGGGAAGGATTATCCCATATATTATGGAAAAAACAAATGTTCCAAACCACCAAGCAGTATATCATTCTAATAATCCCCATGGATTCAAATACTGTCCTGAGAAGGTACAAACAACCCCTGAAAATCACGCCACAAACGCTTCATCTAACATCCCCGAAGAGTGGAGACCGCCAAAAAAATGCGATGAGGAACCCATGTTTGGTATCCAGATCTTTTAGACATACCAGGATCAATTGCTCTCTGACTGACAATGGATGGCAATGGACAAATTCAGCAATTTGATACAATGTTGCAAAGGATGTACTATGATGTACTATGGCTTACATGGATATTCCGTTGCCAAGCTCGACTGGAGGGCATAGCGATCCCCGGACAGATTAAAAACAGTTGAAAACCAGAAAAGTGAGGGGTAAGATTCATCACAGACATCTTGGAAAGACCTCGCCTGTCTTCTTCAGGACCCAGAAATATGCATAGCTAAACATCGTTAAAACAGTTAAATCCATGTTATATAAATCACCTCAAAATTTCATTGGTGGCATGGTTGAATGAACCATCCCATATGCTCCATGTATGGAATATTTACCAACATTTGCCCTAAAAATCACCCAAATGTAGGTAAATATACCATACATGGAGCATATGGGCATGTTTGTTTTGTGAACAGTGCGAGTAGATTCCTTTTCAAACTCCAGGACCCCAGGCTGGCCCTTGACAGCCCGGTGCTGCCATACCAGGCCTAGGTGGGAAAATCTCAATGCCAACCATGGCGGTCATTGGTCGATTTATTCAACAATATTCAAATAAATCGAAGGGATTTCACAGGATATTTGAAAATTATTTTTTCGGGATCTAAGCAAAGGATATCAATCCTTATCGGGATCTAAGATGATCTAAGGCCACAAATATCTCATGGGGATTTGACAGGATTGGACAAACACAATACGTCACTTGGATGGGGATCAACCGAATCTAAGCCTAAAACTCAAGTGACGTGGTGCCTCAAAATTGATGTGGGGCAAGTGAGAAGTTGGAGCAAATATGAGGATGTGGTCACACAAATATTAATTGGAAAAATGGTCCAAATAGATATTCCATGATATTCCAGCATAGTCATGCATATTTAAGCTTGTTTTTCTTGTTTTTCGGAACCACAATTATCATGGACTTATCATAGTCATCATCATTTTCAGTATGATAAGATTGACCCGTACAAAACAAATTGGCCAACAGAAATCCCCAGCATGAACATGTTTTTTTCAGATTCATGAGAATGTGTCAAACTGGAGTGGCACCGACATGTTGTGCCAGAATGGATGAACAAAACTACTGCACTAGTGCATCTTCAAGAATCTGAGGAGATGTGCATGTCCCGGAATTGGGTGAACGAAAAGGATCTTTCAAGAAAGGCCCTAATGTTGGTAAAACAATGCCATTTTTACCATCCCCCAGTCATCACCATTGTTATAGGTGGTATGTTTACTGTACCATTCCCAGTCATGGGTGGTTTATGACATGGCTTTACCCACATTATACGGTACGAATTCAGCAGGACTTTCACCAACATTCATAGGGCACCTGGTACACTAACAAAGCTATGGAAAATTGCCGGTGATAGATGAAATTCATTGAAATTCAATATCCTAAACAAAAAATGGTGATTTTCCAGAGCTATGTTAAATTAAGTTGCCCGTTAAAGCTATGGAAAATCACTGTTTTTTCTAGGAACATGTGCAATTTTCATAGGAGCGGTGTTCAAAATCCCTCTGTCATTCCATTACACATTTTGTGGTTTGTAGGGATTCCCCGTTCTTGGATTATTGTAATCCCCAGTATATATCAGTATATTGGGTAGTATAATTCCATATCATCAACCAACCAGGGTTTTGAACATGTTTGAACACTGCTCATAGGGGGTGTGGAAAATCGTAGCATCTTTTCTCCAAGGGGCTGCATGGCGTTCACTTCCAAGGGCGTCCAACCCACCATAGGCTGTACAAATGGCACGCCTCGGCCCAGGTGCAGTTTAAGGGAGACTGACTCGGGCACCAAAATATATAATAGTGTAATATAATGTGTATATATATATAATATGTATAGAATGAATATGAAAAATATTAGAAAAAATGTATATATAAACATGTATTTACCTATATGCCTAAATACTGGATTATTATATCATAAATAGATTATTTCGTATTATTATGTAATTATCATTATTATTGTTATTATTTATTGTCATTATGTCATCTGTACTGGTTCAGAGTGCAGTACTTGAATGAGCATCCAAACCGTTAACCCTGTAGGTGTTTAAGAACCTTAGCTAGCAAGTCCTGTTTTTTCTACGGCCATGTTTATAAACACAATGTGTTAAACCCACTGAGAAACCATACCCCATATGCCCATATGCCCAGTAATCATTTGGGAGATAATTGTTCAGACCATACCCTTTCTTTCAAGGGAGTTCTTATTGGGTTTATACCCCATTCTCATCCATTCTCCCCTCTTATATATATACATATATATTTATATATTTATATTATATATATATATTTCTATATATATATATTGTCAGCTTGGTCAAATGCCACTGATATTCCACTAAGGGTCGTTTACCGCACCAGTGGGTAAACACCGCCGTCCCACCGCAGGGCCCCATGACTGGCTGGCATCGCAGGCTGAAAGTTCACAGAACCACTGGCAGGCGCACGTCTTGCGACTGGCGCCTCGCAGTTGGCGAAGCTGGGAAGACTTGGAGAATCTGAAGTCACTTTTTATGGGTGTGATGGTGAAATGACCCAAAAATAAGTTGGGATATAACTGATTATAACCCCTTTCTCACTAAAGTCAGTTATATATATATTCACAAAAACATCTCGTTTTTTGCACTTCCAGTTGTAACAGCTACACTTCTCGTACGCCATGAATGCAAGTCTGGGGAGCTCCTCTTGCCGCCTTGCCCTCGATTGCCATCAAGCTATCCCAGACGTGAATCCCAGCTGTTTTCCATATGTTTTCCATGGCTTGCAAGCTTTACCCCACCAAAGTTACCAAAAAACCCACCAACTTTAGGCTTGTTGGTGACTGTACAACACGTAAAAGGTGGACCATCCCACCTTTAGGGTCGTTGGTTAATAACCCTTTTTTGGCCATATGGGATAAGGCCACGTTTCAGGCCACGAGTCGGGGAGCATTTCTGGGATGGTCCTCCAGCAAAGTACCATGGCGAAAATCAGTATGATTGATAGGTAAATCATCAAACTAAATGGACCATAGCTTCATCCATGTCCCATAGAAAGTTATCTAATGCCCAATCATTTATAGTTCGATATTGTCTACCATGAAGTCTAGTTACTAAAAATCCGGTCATCGCTCTCCTGACCATTGATCTGTTCCATGCGACCAGAAATGTGCGACTCAGACTCTGCAACCCCCCATCAGACAGGTGCAAAAAATATCAAAAAATAAACATCATCAATATAATTTCTATGGTATTCTATGGTTTTTTCTATGGTTCAATCATCAATAATTTCTATGGTTCAATCATTTCTAGGCTATTCTATTGTTTTTTGTTTTTTTTCTATGGTTCAATCAAGTTCAATCAAGTTGAATTCCCATCTTTTTTTCAGAGACCCCATGGATTTTCTTGCTGGATCTTCCCTGGAAATGCCATCCGAACCTCCACAGGATCTGGATCCCAAAAGATCTCCTGGTCTTCCTGCGCTGCAAAAAGCGTCCAAAAAAAACCACCCTGCTGGGCGACGACAAAAAAAAAACTGGCAGAGTTTACCAAGTTTGACAAAAGGGGATTTTAAGTTCAACATATTCTTCAACATCCAATTTTTTGTGGATCTTAACGTGATGTCAATGATTTCTTATCAATATTCAATACATGGAGATTTTTTCAAAACACGAAATGAACCTCGTTTGTGTGTTTCTTTGTTTACAACCGTTTACTGGATTCTTGTTGCAACCACTCCATTTTATTTGCAGGTCCGTGGCTTCCAAAGCAACATCGACCGTGGTGAACCTTCCCTATGAAAGCATCTATGTCTTTTGTTGCTGGTTAGTACCTTTTACCATTCATGCGGGTAAAACATGGTGAAACAATGCCATTTGTACCATCCCCAAATCACCATTGTTATAGGTGGTATGTTTACCATTCCCAATTGGGGTCTGAAAATAGTGCACCCCTTTCCATCTGGATTCTCATCATGTTCCCATTAATTTTTGGTTATTTTAAGGGGCAATCCCCACCATTTTCAGACAGACCCATAACTTTTTTTACCCACATTAATCCTCAACACCACGATTAGTGGTTCTATTAGTGGTTCTATTAGTGGTTATATTAGTGGTTATATTAGTGGTTATAAGAAAAAAAACATCTTGATGGATTATAATCACTATATAGAAATCACTATTTTCACCACCATTTTTCTGGCAACAATAACTTGAAGGATGAAGCCATCCAGTCGCTTGACCGCGCCTCCAAGAACTGATCCAAAAGTGTCAGGGGCTGATGCGCTGGGCCGCCTGTGGTGGCCTAGAAAGCCATGGCCGGAGGAAACTTCCCTGGGAAATGATAGGAGTTCCCATGGGTTTTCATAGGGATATCATGGTGATTTATAGGATTTAAATGGTATTAATGTTAAATGGGGATGATTTCATAGGAGTTTTCATGGTGATTAAATGGTGATTTCATGGGAGATGATTTCATAGGAGTTTTCATGGTATCCAATAATGATTAGCCTCTGGTGTCAGTTCCAGAAAATCCCCCATGTATCCTATGAATCACCATGAAAACTCCTATGAAATCATCCTCATGAAATCACCATTTAAATCCTATAAATCACCATGAATCCCTATGAAATCCTATGGCTTAGCATGTTCCTTCGGTACGCTTTGGCGTTCGGAACTTGCTCTGTTTGACTACCAACAGATCCCATCCCATTGTATCCCTTGAGTTTTTCCCAGGTACTCGGCGATCCCTGAAGAATCCCCCACAGAATTGGTTTAATCACTATTAATGTCAACCCCGGTTTAATAAACCATGCTTTATGAATTTGGGGGGATTCCCCCAATAGTCATGATTTGATACTTAAATGGTACCTTCCGAATTAAACAGCCGTTTGGGGTTTATTAATCCAGGGTTGATATTAATCACCATTGACCACCATTAATCACCATTAAAATTATTAACCACCATTACTCACTATTAACCACCATTCATGTTTCATTGGGATTGTCAACGATGACCATTCATCGCAGCGGCTTCGTAATTCACCTGGAAAGGAACACAAGAGCTTAGAACTACTTGGTGGTTCATCCCACTTAGTAAGTGGGTTATAACCCCAGTTATAAGTGGATTAACCCTGCTTATCCAATTTATAACTGGGGTTATAACCCACTTACTAAGTGGGATGAGCCACCAACTATGGACAAATAACTCTGAAGGACTACGGATACCCTCTGGTAAACATACAAAAAGCTATTGAAAATGGCCATAGACATAGTGGAATTTCCCATTAAAAATGGTGGTTGTCCATGGTTATGGGACAGTTTACCAAAGGGTAACCATGGTTAACAATGGTTACATCACTACAAGGTTGTGGCCCTGCAGCAATTTTGCTTGGTTTATTACCCTCTGGTAAATAAACATAGATCCTGAAAATAGCTAATGTTTAATGGAAACTAGTCTTCCAACCCCTATCTGCCAGGGTCTATGTTAATTTACCAGAGGGTAACCTTTAACTAGTACGATATATCTACCATAAACCGCGTCCTTCACCTAGAAACCTGAACCAACCGGGAAATATCTGGAGGGCGCCACCTTCTATTTTCTAGAACCGTGCAGAAAATGATCATGTACATATTATATATAAAATCATATTATATAATAATATAATGTTATATATATATATATATCTGTATATATATATATATATGTCCAATGCCAATACACTATGAATATCTGTGAGTAAACATAAGATGATGATATGTTTTTGGGCCTACACTGATTCCATATGTAATACAGAACATATACAGAATTGATCACGGTTTTTTCATGTATTTGTTTTTGTAAAATCACAGAGAAAGAGGGAGAGGGAGAGAGAGAGAGAGAGATATGGAAGTAGATCTTGATGATATGGAATGGGTAGATATATGCGTTGTAGATATCAACATGTTTTTAAGAGTCTATTTTGATAGTTGAGTTGATGCTCAACCAATGCCCAACAATCATGTTGCATATGGCATTGTCTGAACATACCTCGAAATCCAATGGACAACCAAAATGTCACTGTCATATTGCCTCAAAAATAGAGGTTTCCGACATGTCATGGGGATACCCCCAGTCATCATCCATTTTTGTTATGGCATTTTCCATAAACCATCCAGCGTTTTTGGGCTACCCCCATGACATGTCGGAAACCCCCAATGACTCTGTGGCCAGCAACCAGCAACGTCTGAGATCTCCGGCCAGTGCAAAGCAACAACCTGGGCCCGCGGGTCACCAAGGGATCCCCAAGAGGGTTTCAAGACCATGGCTTTTTGCGGATCTTAAGAATGTGACGTGCTATTTTCAGCATATGTTTTGAAGTGATGAACTATGTTGTCTTTATGGTTTTTGTGAAGTGACCAAGATGAAGTGATGACCCCGGATTTCAATGGATTTCAAGAATACTATCAAGGTTAAGCGCTTCGAGATCAGGATTTCTGATTTGATTTAAGTTGTTGCAGTTGCAAAATCAACAAAGGATCAAGAACAAGGCAGTGGGTAAAGAGCAAAACATGTTGTGGATCGAGTGCAAGAAATATATGTTAAGTTACAAAGGCTTTGCTTTCGGCCCGTATTTCTCAATTTTCTTTTGGTCATCAAAAATCTAGAACTTAGTTTTATTGTATTTCCAATTATCAATTAGTTTATTTTCCATGTTGTAAATCACCATGAACCATACTATACCATATGAGTGACTCCTGGAATCAAATTAGCACGATTTCATGTTGATCCTACAAGAAATATCGGTCAATCGGTCAGTCGTAGAAATGGAACCTCCAAATTGGAACACATATTTCGAAAACTGACAAAAACATACAAAAGCAATGGGTACAGTGAGGCTTCGTAAAATGGGTCTTTCAGACCTCTACCCACTGATAAAGTTCCAAGCTTCACGTTATATTTAAACAAAATGCAAAGGTAAAATGCACAATTGCACTCTGGAGGATTAAAAAAGGATAACCTGCAGCCCTTGCAACATTTATGTTACATCTCTGGGCAAATCATAGGCAAACATTCCAAAACCTGAAATCCGCCTACTTTGGCAAGTACTTTTGGCAGCTCAATCCACGCATATCCAGGTTGCTCCAATGTTCGATGAGCCACGAAAAATCCGGGCTATCTATGGATGGTGAAAAACCCACACCATTTTGGGGTGAGACAAGGTACCCCAATCTTCACCGGTCCCGTTGCTGCCACTCTCATCAGTTCCGAATGGATTTGCCTATTCGGAAGCCCCAAGAAAAATATCGTGAAATAACCACCAGTCATTTCCCGGTCGATTCCCCAGTCGATTCGTGGGAAATTCCCAGGATGATCGTGGGCCCCTCCGGACCCTGGGATCTCCCAACTCCTCAGATCTCCCGCGCTCATGTCGCCCGCATTCTCCAGACCCAAGGGCTGGGCACAGAGCACCGAAAGACTCTGCATCTCCTCCGGAGGATGATGGATGACGGTTTGTTGACGGAGGATCACCATTAGATCTAAGGGAAGCAATCAGTTCACTGGATAGGGATGTAGTGAAATAAGGAACAACTATAGTATTATAGTGACAATTGGGATAAGTCTTACATAACTATGATGATGATTTACTGGATGATTTCATGATCACCGTGATAACAAGGAGGACTTTAGGTATCCCCGGTGCTCAACAACATTCCGCACACAAGGAAATGTCATGATGAGAATAATTGGGATAATCATACGGATATACTGGGATATATGTAACCAACAATAAGCAACAGCGGGAAAAATAAGGAGGTTTCCCCTGTATTCTTCGGCTCTATCTGGTTCTGTATGGGCTTTAGGATATTTCATAGCTACTTACTAATGACTGGGATGTACCCCCCCAAATATGATTTATAACTTTAACCTATGATGATAATTACATGGGTGTGTCCAGAAATGGGGACACCCGCCAAAATCGCAGCTTTCAGGCGAAACTGATGATAAACTCCGCTGGATGTGTTCGTTTTGTTCCCCAACATTGTTTTACAAACTCATATGGAGGTTTCCCAAGTAGTCACGAGGGACCCCAACATTAGTCTGCATGATCAAGCGAAACCACCGGTTCTGTACCAAGATTTTCAGAAACACCCATATCGGGATTCAAAAACAATTCAAATACGAACATTGCTCAAAAACAAATGGCATATCATAGTATACTGATATATCATATGACATAGTATATCATAGTATATGCTACACATGTATTACTATATCAATAATAATATAATCATATGACAGATGCAACACATGATTAAAAAAAAAAAACTCAACTGGGATGGGGATTCAAACATGGTTTTATTCCACGAAAATGAATCAGGAAAACTAACACAAGAAAAAATGAAGAACTATGGGCAGAACATGATTTAATGAAATAACACATATAGTTCTACAGGTGCAATCAAACCCTTCAATTTCATTACTTACAACTTGCACCTCCTCTGGGTGCTACTATCTTTGTGCAAAAACAAAATACAAACACTTGAAAACTAAATCATCACAATGGTTTACACAAGAAGAAATCGTCAGTTGATAGGACTTCCCAGCTCATGGATTGTGATATTCCCCAAGATATGGGTATGGGTCAAAATGAGGTACCCCAATAATTGGATGGTTAATACTAAACTAGACTTTCACATCTGTGGCCCACATCGGTCTTCCATTTTGACCCACATCCATATTGAATAGTATAACACAGTATAACCCCATATAATCATCAACCACTAGGGGTGCAAAAATTCGCACTGCTCACTGCTCAGCAGACCAAGACCTCTTCAGAAGTGGACGGGAATACGCATACTGTGTTGATTGAACACTATTTTGGCTGGTGAAACATTGCATGATTCATGATTAGACCTCCAAAGACTAATAAAGATTGGTAAAGGTCCCAAGACATACTGGGTATATTACCGCAGTTTTTCAAAGGTACTAGTACTTGCAGGGTCTAGGGAAACAGTGGTAAACTGGTTTCATACTTACATACATATATATATATAATGTATATGCAGTAACCATGATATTTCCGTCTTCCTATGCAACACTCATACCCTTATAATACTTACTTATGCATATATATATATACGCATAATATTAGCCATGATCTGCCTATGCAATACTTCGAATAATAATGATAATAATAATAATAACTTAAAGCATATATCATCTTGTATATATATATATATGTTTTATGTCTCAAGTGTCTTTTCCCATCACACAACCCCCCTGTTGTGCAGCGGCTCCCTGGGCTTGAAGGAGTCCATGCGCCGGGCAGCCTCCGCGAAGAGCGCCCGAAACATGCCCTGGCAGGCGCCTGGACGTTCGATGCCGAAATCCCTGGAGAATCTCCGTTCGATGGCTTTAGAAATTTTAATGAAAACACCTTATTTAAAAAAAAAAAAACATATATATATATATATATATATTATTCTATATATATATATCTATACACTAATATGTATATCTGATGTTTTATATTTTGTATGGAACGATATAGTTTGGAAACTTATAATGTGGAAGCTGATGTGTTTTGTTAAAGACCAGTATGAACATATTATATACTTAGAAATGATACGATGTTCAAGGGAAATCATAACTAAGATGTTTCATTTGTGGGAATGAAAACCACTCCCCAAAACATGGCTACTGCAATGTGCTTGCATGGATGGTCAGTTTTGTATTGAAGTTCACCTGCTTGAAATCGATTTCTAGGTGGCTAGCAATTGCTGATCCTGCTGAAGTGATCAGAGCAGGAAGCGCCAAAACTGGGAAACACACCATATTAATACACAGATTCACGAACGTGGCCAAGAAAACAACCAAACATGGTCTTAGTAACACGTTGCTTTCACCCAAATAAACAATTTCGGATTGTAATTGGGATCTAACCCAGACATGAACCATCAGCTCAGACTTCATGAAGTACCCCAGTTCTGTATGGGATCTTAACCACCGACATTTCCCTCGATGGAACCCACCCCACACGCAGCACCCACCCTGGTACCGTTTGGTTTTCACCCTCAGCTGGTTATAACTGGATGTGCATCCCCCCATCGAGATGAACATCATGCAATGGCCCCCGAGATAAAGGCATGTTATCTTATAAGTAGGTTTACTGAGGCTTATGGTAGATATAGTTTTGTAAACTAAGTTTGAACTATGTTTTACATCTTTAAACAAACTCAATTTCTTTTTTCTGCCAACATTTTTGAAAATCGGCTACCCCAAGATCCAATGGCTTACCATCATGCTTCACATTAACAATTGCCACTTTATGGGATTAATCATGGTTAATCTGCATAATCCCCATTTTTGGGTCCCATTTCTATCCGATGCCCCCATCAGTGCCTTCCAGCAGAGCCGGAGGCTGCAAGGCGGTGAGATCCACGGAAAAGACCCTGGCAGAAATTGCGCTTGGAGCGCTTGGAGAGTCACTGGCTGGGTGTGTTCAAGGGAAAAATATTATCATTATTACTATTATCATGATTATTATTATTATTATTTATATATATATATATCATATATATATATTATATATACATACATATACATGAAGGAAATGGAGTGAACAATTTTGAAAAGTCACAACAGCAGAAATTCACTTGGATGGTGCCACATGGAATGGCTATCTGTTTACACTAGATAAACAATTGGAACACAATAGATGAAATACTACATGTTTTTTCGGGAAAATGTTTCCTCCAGTGAACTTAACAGTTCGCGAACTGGAAACCAATGGCCCATTTAGTTCGATGATTTACCTAAAATGGTGATTTTCTGTGGCTATATTAGCCTACAGGAGGGTACATGGAATGGCTTGAAAAATAACAACACAAGAACTTGAAGGATGGCTGATATGTTTCAGTCAGGAATTGTAGTCTCAATTGATGTTTGATGTTGGCTGATGTTTTGCTTTCAAGGATTCCAATACTAATCTCAATTCATATTTGGTGATGCTTGATGAATCTAGAATTGAATCCGTCCATCTGCAAGTTGAGTACGTGGATGTGCATCCCAAATAGAAAGTGGCTTCTGACCTGTATATAATCCATATAATATATAATATATCTCAATATAATATAAATATATTATATATTATATATACACCATATATATACATATATATATACATACCATATATATATACACACCATATATATATACCATATATATATACACACCATATAACCGACATGTCATATGGCTATTACCCACTTAATAACGGCGGTGTACCTTCAAGTATGGATTTTTGTTGAGTATTCCGACGGCTTGGTGAGGTGCATCAAAGCTTTCATTCGAGGGGGATCACCAAATAAAAACTCAAGCTCTTCATCCATCCCAAATATGTATATGTATATACTGTATGTATGTTTATATATACATATATATATATACATATATATATATATTATGTATATAGATAATCATGAATAAATGAAGTTGTTCAGGGATGGAGTACAAACAGTTAAAACTTAGTTTAAAAACCGCCTACCAGTCCATTCTTGGCTACATACCCAATACGTATCCATTTCATCCGTGCATTTTTTTTTTCAGGATGGACAAGATCCATGTATTCATTTCCCCAGTTCAAATCTCCCACAATGTTTCGAGATTGTTTTTGTCTATCTTTCACCTGGCACAGCCTGCCACAGCCAAGAAAACCATGGGGACTCCCCCCGTGGTAGGGATGGAAAAGACCACAAAACTTCATCCAGCCGAAAGCGCCGCTCGAGTCGAAGGTTTCGGCCTAATGAGGTGCAGAAGCACCGGGTTTTCCAGCACTTGAAGTCTGTGAAGCGCCTGGGGGAAGACTTCGGCAGGTGAATGATCATGGGATTCTCATGGATTCTGATAGGGGAGGACTGATGGGGAATTTACTGGGAACTTCATGGGTTAATGATTTGATGGGACTCAATGGGACACGATGTGATTGTAAACCAATGGGTTTTGTTGCAGGGGTTGCAACAAACATCCCCCGTTTTCCAGGTTTATACATGCTTATACCTATTAGATTGTCCAGGTTGTAATATGTTGTAATAAAGTACAGGACATAGGGGTATAATAGGAATATAGACCGGGATAGAATATAAAGTTCAAGAATGCTATGACTATTGGATTTTAATGGGGAAACGACAGAATATAACAAGGACGAACCCAACGAATGGTTGGTGACCGTGGGGAGTTTCAGCTAACTATGACCATCACACAACAACATCATTTTACATCAATCATCATCAATCATTGGTCTATCGATAGAGTAAGTATCAACAAGGAATGAATGGTCATTGCTCCCCAGTTGGTTGCTAATCATAGGGGTTACACTATCCCATATATTGGTCACCCGGATTCTGTTCTTTTATCAGTCCTACTGCTGACAATATGTATTCCGACTCTGGCTTGTACGCCAAAATGGCTGGTTCTAGCTTCATGTTCATGACGACCCAAAAGCCATGCCCGCTCTGCATGTGGTTTTCACAGAAAGTTGCTGGCGTCAATCTTGGCATTGGTTCGAAGGAAAATGTACAGAAAAAACCTATACCAGTAGTTGAATATAGATGTTAGAAGATGTTAGAAGATGTTACCCTCTGGTAAACTGACATAACTATGGAAAATCACAATTTTTAATGGGAAAACTCACTATAAATGGCCATTTTCAATAGCTATGTTAAATTACCAGAGGGTAGAAGATGTTGGAAGCATGTTCAAGCAATGGTTTCCGGTTTCCTGCAAATTTCCCGTTGTACCAATCCATTGATTCAAGGCTCCTCGTGTTTCCAAGGAGCCAAGTCAGCCCATTGTCGCAAAATGGCGCGAAACTCAGACCCTATAAATAGCAGTCCATTGGCCGCCCAACTCAGAGTCCGGCACGGTATTTCTGGCCATATGGATATGGATGAAACTTGGATGCCAACCAAAATCGATCGTTTCCTCTGTGACAGGTTGCCTTTTGATGGAAAAACAATATCTGATCCACCATCAAGGAAAATCCATATTAGTTTCAAACATCACTATATAATCCTATATAATTATAACACTGGGAACAGAGACAATACAAACGCGATATGTTGTGCATCCTGAAGTTTCCACATCCATGGCATGTTCACCAAATCTTATCCATCTCTAATGGATATTGATGGATATTAATGGTTATGAATGGTTAATATTAGCAGCGCCATATCCTTCACTTCTCCTTCTTGTCTTCTTTCACTTCGTCCTTTTCGCTCGCCGAAACGCCTTTGGATCCTTTGGCTGCCGTCACCACCTCGGCCGCCGCAGGGTCCGGGTCCGGGAAGCCCTCGAGGAAGCAGTGCACGACGAAGGCGCCAAGGACCAGATTCACCAGCAGAACCGCCACAATGGCGCTGTACATCCATCGGCTATTGCTGTCTGACCTGCACAGGTTCCATTGCCACCTTTGATCAGAGGGATGAACAAAAGGTATATCCCTTGAGTTTCTGAAACCAAAGTGCAAAAAGAACTCGATGGGCAACGGACTGAGTGAACTGATAGAGTTAACTATTCAGAGTTAACTGATAGTTAAGTGATGATAGCAAGTAACTTGTACAGCAACCCACTACATACCGAGCTATAAGAGGCTTACTAGCCAGTCAACTATAGTTAACTCATGATGTTCCATGGCCCATCTAAGAGATCATCTAAGTATATCCAGGTTTGCCCTCCAGTAAATTAGCATAGACCCTGCAATGAGTTGGGATTGGAAGATGAGTGAAACCACTAAAAATTGGTGATTCGCAGGGTCAAACCTGTGAATTTACCAGAGGGTACCCTCTGGTAAACTAACATAACTATGGAAAATCACTATTTTTCATGGGAAAATCCACTATAAATAGTAATTTTCCATAGTTATGTTAGTTTACCAGAGGGTACCCTTTAATGCATCCGTTAAGTCAAGTCGCACCATGCTTCTCAGCAGATACTCCGAAGCAAAAAGGCCCAAGATCGGCAGGAATGCCAAAGCGCCCGAGAAAGCTGCGAACTGCTGCGCCACGTCGCCTCCAGCGTGCCATGGTGAAGTTTTATGACATGAATGGGCTATGGTCAGTATACCCCTATACCGATTGAGGACCATTTCCCAATATGGGTACAGTAATAAGTTGTGTCAGGCAACCTTTCAACCACGGCTCATATAGTATCATGAAGAACCTGTCATTATATGTATAATCATCCTGGAGTAGGTGAAATGCAGATTTTTCAAACGTATTCCCTTTTAGATGTTTTAGTAAGTCGTCGTTGTGAAATATATTCATATTCTATCTACTCCGGGACGACTATAATATATATTATAACATATTACAACTATAACATACTATAACTATACAAAATAAATCCCAGTGATGTTTGGGTGGATACCGGATTCAGGTATTAGCTACAGCTACAGCTCCGACTTCAAATGTCCATGCTCCGATCGAGTTTTGACATCAGGCAGTTGACAAAATGACTGAGCAAGAAAACTGGCTGCTCACTCGCATACCAGCGACTTAACGAGCCCAAAATTGCCATAGATGGCAAATGACATGACTGAAATGATGCAAGCAGTTCCTTGGCCAAAGAATAGTCCATCCTGCGCGTCACCGCCAAGTTGCGGTTGCTTTGGTCACCCAAAGCTTGTAGCAACGTCTTGGGCTTCTCCTCTGCTGCGCCGCTGCTTGGCGCTGCTTGCGCTGTCCCCTCGGCAGTTGGCTCTGCAGTTGGCTCCGCCGGTGCCTGATCGGCGGCAGCGACACCTCCTTCTCTGGCAGGGGCAGCTTCAATCTCGGCAGCAGCGGAAGCGTCATCCGCGGCGGGGGCTTCCATCAGATCAAAATTGGCAGGTTTTTGGATGTGTTTTGCTGTAGCTATGGGGATCAATTAACAGTAATTGCTGCTTTTCGCATCCAACCATAGCTGGTACTTCTGGATGTTCATCCCCTCATTCAGATATATAAGGCATGGAAGGTTTGGCGCATGCCCCTTGTAGAAGCCACTGGAAAGTAAAGCTGGTGATAAACGTCAAAAAGCGCCAAGTTGCTGTTGGTCTTCCTGTTTGTCAAAGGGTTTGTAATGAAACATCATGCTGCTCTGTGTCATGTGACTCAAGTTTCAGTCATTCCAAGAATGTTGTGCTTGAGCTCAAGCCCAGTGCACTGGCCTGTCTGTGAAGCAGCAAATTTGTTGGAAAAATAAGTGGCTCAACTGCTCCACCAGATCTACTGAAGTGATATCGAAAGTTAAGCACTACCGTTCAGTACCAGCAAAAGTGCTTCTCTATGCAGGAACACAGTTAATATAATTCATTTTGGGGCTCAAAAAGACTTTCGAGCCACTCACACTTACCCGTATTCGCGGAGCTTATGGGTCTGGCCTCTCTTCCCGCTGCTGCAAGTAGAACCACCTCAGCTGCTTCAGTCCATGTCTGGTCAAAAAGCTCAGATAATGCTTTGCAGTTGAGAAATCATGAAAATGAAATGCGTTCCTACCTCCAAATTAAGACATACGCGACATACTAGTACCTGTCATATTGCCCCATATTGCCCCTTTTGCGCTAGCTAGATTTCTGGTTCTACATCGTGTTACAACCTGTGGTTCCAGGTCAGAGTCACAATTTGAGCCTGACAAACCACAGATTTTCTTCACCCGCATTCCACTATTCGAAATACGAGTAATACAGGTATCAGGGTTGATTCCACAAAACAAACATAAACTAACGATATACGGCAACCCTTGAATTTTTGGCATCTTTTTACCACTCAAAATGCTAGTGCCGATGGGGTGAAGATGTTCCCCATTTCGAGTCCATCTCCATAGCGTCGTTGAGATCCGTGCTGATCCTGGACACCCCACGATCAAGAAGGACCTGGGCGCCCAAAGGTTCCCGAAGCTTCCCGGCGAACTCCGTTCGCTATGTATAAATGAACAGTGAACATTACCAAATATATCCAAATATTGAAAAACTATAGAAATCATAAAGCAAACTTATGGGCACTTATGTGCCATGGTCAAAACATGGTATTAGTGGATTGCTGCTATGGGGCATGGTCATCTATCCCACATAAGCCATGGCACACAGCTTCACCAATGCTCTGAAAAAGGACCCCTTGAGCCCCGCACGCAGCCAGATTCACCAACATCACGTTGGAGAGCTCGTTCAGCCGGCTCAATGCCTATTTAACTTGTGCCGGGGATAACCTAGCCGCCTAGCCGACCCTAAAATGGGGACTGTTGTGTATATCAACAATATCAACAATATCAACCGCAAGTATATATTTTCACGAGTTGTATCAACTATGATGTTGAAGTTTGGAAGGTGACCGAAGGTGACTGATAAAACTACTTCGAACAGATTCCGAAAATGGCTATCTTCAACAATCACTGCGTGAATCACGGGGCATGTGCTGTGACCGGGCCTGAACATCTTCCATGCCAAGCTACATGGGGTATCACTTGGGTATGGGTCAAAATTAGGTACCCCAATAATTGGATGGTTAATACTAAACTAGACTAACATCTGTGGTCCCCTAGGTCTTCCATTTTGACCCACATCCACTTTTTTGTAGGAGTCTCCCTGGTCTCCCCTGCCTGTTGCATGGCCTTGACGCAAAAGTCCACGGCACTCGTGGCACTGGAGACCTTTTGACCTCGCTGGAGATCTTCCGTTGGCAACCGCCAAGGTCAAGTTCGGCAAACATGTATGTAACTGTATGTATTTACAATGTGGGTAAAACAATGCCATAAACGTCATAAACCACCCATGACTGGGAATGGTGAACAAACCACCTATACAAATGGTGATGACTGGGGGATGGTTTATGATGGCTTATTATTGTTTTACCCACATTAGAAGTGATTGATCTGTTGTGGGACTTCGCACCCCGTTTAAATCAGTCGAGGTGGCTCAGCATGGTCAACAAACATGGTTGGAACAAAAAATTCCTCAGTGCCCTATTCGAAAAGTGCTCACAAACATGACCGGAAGAAATCCAGAAAGAATTACGTGCCAAACAAAAGCTGTAAATGACAGCCCAATTTTCAACCCCTCTGAAAAATGATGGAGTGAGTTCGTCAGTTGGGATGATGATTCCCAAATGAATGGAAAGTCATAAAATTCATATATTGACCATATCAACCATATAATGACTTTCCATATATTGGGAATTGACCATATTATATCATATATTAACATATATTAACCATATTTGGTTCCAAACCACCAACCAGATTTTCACATATCATTTCTCGGGGTGTCACGGTGTCACCTCCGCAGCGTCCCGCACCCGACTTGCCATTGCTCTCGATGTGCTTGACCACCTAGCGAGGCCAAAAGAAGGCGATTGGCTCACAGTTTCGCACCAGAATCATGAGAGTAGAATCGAAATAGATTATCATAACAGATTATCCTCATGATATACCTTCTGAAAAAAAAGAACATCGAATTAATTACAGTACCATACGGAAAAATCTAGCAGCATTTCAGCAAGTATTTCCAATATCAAAAATGATCACGTTCCAAAAGGGAAACACCCCGGACTTCCATATTGTCTTGTTGAGATAATTTACTAGCGATTTAACTCCTGCCGGATAACTTGTCCATCCTCAATGAACCAGGATGATTCATCAACAGGAATGGCCGAACGTGTGAAAAGTGGGTGCCCTCAAATTCCATATTCCATGGTACATCATCAATGGTATATCATCAAATTCCATTATATAAAGTGTGGTATATCATCAATGTATATATATATATATATTAGTATATCATCAATGTTCCCATTGTATGATATTAAATGCTTATTCAATTAGGGCATACATGGGCATACCCCATGTCCAACCGCACGCCTTGGCGGCTGCCATCGAACAAATGGCGATCTCAGGCATGTTGAACCTGGATGGTACAGTAGCAGTTTTGGATCCTGCCAAAAACCTATCGGCTACTGAACTACCTGCTACATTACTATATCTATATATATATAAAGTATTGAAAGCTTTTGAATGCTGTTGAATCTTTGGACCGTGGCCATACAGTCCTTATTCAATCATGCAATGGTTTTGACCCATGCCACGGCACCTTTCGATCTGCTTCATGGCAGCTGGCAACAGGGCCAGAACCGTTGTAGCCCTGGGCGGTCTCCGACCAAAAAAAAGACGGAAATGGTGGAAAAGGCAACTATTTAATTGTGGAAGACAAAACTAGGTTAACTATGGGTTATGGTGATGAAACAACTATAGATGGTGGCGGAAAACCAAATTGTGTGTTTTCAAAGGCGGAAAAAAAACAAGAAATCCTCATCAGGGTTGGTTGTTTCAACGCCAAAAATATGCGTCAATTTGGATCATCATCCATCATCATCCATCATCATCCATCATCATCCATCATCATCCATCATCATCCATCATCATCCATCATCATCCACCATCATCCATCATATAATGTTCTTGAAGCAATAGGATCCACCATCCTCTAATTTTACCAATTTATCGGTTATATAAACCATCAAAGGTGGAAAAAACGTGGTTGAAACCACAAACCGGTCATAGTATGTCATACAAAAGTGGCTCATCAAATTTACCAAACTGAAAGGATGATAATTCATTATTAGCTATAGTATATTATACATATATATATATATATATGTATATATTACTATTGGTTCATCACACTGCGATGGATGTCACCAACATCAGCAATTCGACAAATGTCGTCCTAGCTCTATGGATCATGGGAAATTCCGAGATGAGGAAGACGAGGGTTTGCACCTTCGGAAGAACCAGAAAGATGGATTTTCATGGTTCTGAATCGGATAACATTATATGATGGATGATGATAGATGATGATGGATGATGATGGATGATGATGGATAATGATGGATGATGATGGATAATGATGGATGATGATGGATGATGATAGATGATGATGGATGATGATAGATGATGATGGATGATGATGGATGATGATGGATGATGATAGATGATGGATGATGGTGGATGATGATAGATGATGGATGATGATGGATGATGATAGATGATGGATGATGATGGATGATGATAGATGATGGATGATGATGGATGATGATAGATTATGGATGATGATGGATGATGATAGATGATGGATGATGATGGATGATGATAGATGATGGATGATGATGGATGATGATAGATGATGGATGATGATGGATGATGATAGATGATGGATGATGATGGATGATGATAGATGATGGATGATGATGGATGATGATAGATGATGGATGATGATGGATGATGATAGATGATGGATGATGATGGATGATGATAGATGATGGATGATGATGGATGATGATAGATGATGGATGATGATGGATGATGATAGATGATGGATGATGATGGATGATGATAGATGATGGATGATGATGGATGATGATAGATGATGGATGATGATGGATGATGATAGATGATGATGGATGATGATGGATGATGATGGATGATGATAGATGATGATGATGGATGATGATAGATGATGGATGATGATGGATGATGATAGATGATGGATGATGATGGATGATGATGATGATGATGATGGATGATGATGATGATGGATGATGATGGATGATGATAGATGATGGATGATGATGGATGATGATAGATGATGGATGATGATGGATGATGATAGATGATGGATGATGATGGATGATGATGATGATGATGATGATGATGATAGATGATGGATGATGATGGATGATGATAGATGATGGATGATGATGGATGATGATAGATGATGATAGATGATGATGATGATGATGATGATAGATGGATGATGATGGATGATGATAGATGATGGATGATGATGGATGATGATAGATGATGGATGATGGATGATGATGGATGATGATGGATGATGGATGATGATGGATGATGATAGATGATGGATGATGATGGATGATGATGGATGATGATAGATGATGGATGATGATGGATGATGATAGATGATGGATGATGATGGATGATGATAGATGATGGATGATGATGGATGATGATAGATGATGGATGATGATGGATGATGATAGATGATGGATGATGATGGATGATGGATGATGATGGATGATGATAGATGATGGATGATGATGGATGATGATAGATGATGATAGATGATGGATGATGATAGATGATGGATGATGATGGATGATGATAGATGATGGATGATGATGGATGATGATAGATGATGGATGATGATGGATGATGATAGATGATGGATGATGATGGATGATGATGGATGAGATTGTTTTTCTACGTTAAAACACAATGAATGGAACCATGTTTTTTTCCCAAGGCACAAGGAGGTCTGTTTGCATCTTCGCCGCGTCAGCGCCCACCTCGCTTTCCCGCCGTGTCGTGGTGATTCCAGGAATACCCAACCTGGTAATGACTAACAGTTTGCCATGGAAAGTCACCATTTTTAATTTTTAATAGGTAAAGCCAGGTAAAGCATCTATTTCTATGGGCCATCGAAAAACCATGGCTATGTTAAATAACCAGAGGGTAATCCTGATTAGTCATATGTCTTTCTGATAAAATGGACTCATCCTTAAGACATCTCATTTTGAGAGGGATACTTTGCATGATTTTCGGTCATTCCGGTGTGAAGAGTCATAATAAACCCTGGTTAAATATGGAATTCCGATTCCGAGACAACTCCATTTAGTGGGGCTTCTGATGCAGGATGGAGCAGAGATGATGATTTCTCAGCAACTGTACTATGGCGAGGCGATACTGCATGGTGGTATGGATCCCCCTTTGACAAATCGTGAAATTTGTGGGGTCTTCATACCATTTCTTCGATGTGGAAAGTATGAATCATCTACTCAAAACCACTAAGGAATCTGACGAGTCTGGAAATATAATTTTGACATGAGGGACGTGATGGTGTACCAAGATTTGGAGAGGAATCTCTTCTGAGGATTTGTTTTTGCTTCAAACGCTTTAGACTTTAGACGGCAAACATTGAGAGACAAGGTGCACAAATCAGTCCCATCCTCTTGTCAAAAGCCTGGCAAAGCTTCCCTAACTCAAGTACCATAGGTCATACAGAGCAAGAGAGTTGGTCTATGGTTTACAGCGGAAACTACTTTATTTTCACATCATAATCCCATCTTCAGAGAAAGCCCTTGACACCCATGTGGCTTTGGTTTCGCAATAGGAAAGACCAAGCCAAATTAGAGCAATCCGAAATAATCCGAATAGTTTTCATAGTTTTCACCTGGTGGGTCCAGAAACCCACAGCCGCCCAGTCATCCCCATCTCAGCACATTACAGGATATTGGTGGTTTGCTGCGGTGTTAAGGCCTGGTAGCAACGCGAGCCACTTGACAGCTTCAGCTTAACCCATACATTGTCGTCCGCTGAAAGACTAGTTGAAGGCAACTTTATCATTGTACTGACCGTATATCCAACACATCGTGGGAGAAACATACATATAAGTTATAAGTGAAGATAAGAATCTCCCCATTAATGTGTGTTGCGTATCCTATATTACACATTAAAGATGTGTATATATATACAGTATATATGTGTATATATTTGTATTTTTATGTCATGCTTGATAATGTACCTATCTTATGTCCGTTTGTGTTTGTTTTTCTAATGCACACAATACATGCCCTGATACTATATATATATATATGCATATATCTACCATAAGCTATCATACACCATAGCTAACCTAGTTGTATTTGTACCAACTTAGCTATCTTTTGCCGGGCACCACCTTGTACCAATGTAGGCTGTGCAAGTCTGTGCCACCCTGGTAATCAATCATGGCCTGGAAAATCCTCCCAGCCATGTGTGCCTGGAGGGTAGATTCCCATGATAGTCCCCAGCATTGTCCCAACTATGATCCCATTTATCTATATATATATATATCCGTATTAGATCTATATAAATCCCCAAAAGAATCAGAAGTCCCTAGAAATCCCAGGGTCCAAATTACATTTATAAGGAATTCCATCCCATGTTTTTCCATGTCTTTCCTATAAATTCCCAAAGAAAATCCCTCTTCCCACCAGGTCCCGGACCAGACGTTGCGCTGCCAGGGCGGCATTTCCAAAAAAGGCCTCAGCACTGGAGATGTTCCCGGGAATCCCCACAGCCGAAGGAGGTCTAAAATTGGGCTACCCCAATAGCTGGATGGAAAATAAATGGAAATCCCAAACAAAAGCCCAATAGCTGGATGGTTTATTTCATGGTCCAAAACTGGATATGGATGATTTGGGGGTACCCCCTATGACTTAGGAAACCTCGAACATCTCGACCCCGCCCCCATCCCCGGGATCCCACCGCCGGCAGGAAGTCGCTGGCGGCGAAGCCCCAAATGATGGTGGCAATCTCCTCGAAGGACGCGATTTTGAGCTCAGCAAATTGGCAAATTGACCATACAACCCACAGTCAACCCACAGGTGTTGATTACTGAGGTATGGAATATCAAGAAACCCATGATCATATCCAATCTATGGTGATTCCTCTATGGTGAAAATCCCATCTTGTAATTGGACATCCACTATGAATGGAGGGTTGAATGCAAATATATATATATATAAATTGGGAAGTTGCCAGCTAGCCATGTTTGATTACCAGAGGCCCGAAAAAAAAATGAACAACAGTGTAACAGGAAATACGTTGAGGATATTCCATATATAACTCTTTAGGGCAATTGTGCCATAATATATATATATATAGATACTGGGCTATAAATATGGCACAAATCATGATTATTCTCCACTTAGTAACTGGGATGCACATCCAAGTAGTAAGAACATACTTGTTTTGATGGGTGTGAAAAACAACTTGTGTACAAAGCAAAATGGGATGGGCGGCTATTTACAGTATATACTAATTCCTTCCCCCTAACATTGAATTCCGCCCTACAAACCCTGGTTTACTTGTGGATCTATTCATTTCAGGGAACATAGATGGATGGGACTTCCAAACAGAAATCTCAGGAAAATGGGTTTGTCGGAAAATAGGGCATTTCAAACTCGATTTATCATCATATGCTTTGATGATTCTAATGGCCACAGTGGTATACCAATTTCAAAACACAAAGCCTAAAGGCCCTAAACCCTCAAACCTGGCAAATCTCCAACAAATATCCATATTAATGTTGGTGAAATCCCACTTAAGTTACCCTCTGGTAATTTAACATAGCTATTGAAAATGGCCATTTATAGTGAGTTTTCCCATGAAAAATGGTGATTTTCCATAGTTATGTTAAATTACCAGAGGGTACCAAAAAGAACCAGTCGGACATACCGACCAAAAAAATCCAAAAAATGTCTCTGCTCCGCCTTGCGGAGGGTCTAACAACAACCACGTTGCGTCGCTCACATCTCACTGGCTCCTGCTGCTTAAAATCTTGCAACCGGACGTTGGCCCTTCGCGCCACCTCCTGGGAATCCGCTGATCATGGGGTGCACTATTGACAAAGATAATATACTTCAATGGATTGGTTTAAGGGAAAATCTACAGGAAACCATGGTTTTTACTATCAAATATAGGGCTTTCCTGTAAATTTTCCCATCATCCAATTCTATGAATACTATAAATAGTGCCATAATCCGTACTATGTTTTTGTACCTAACACCTAATTATCAAACACATCATATTATACTATCAATAGTGCCTAACAAACACTTTTTTTCATCCCTTTTCCGTACTATAAATACCTTCGAAGCAGCTGTTTAGCATTGGAGGTAGTCAGGATTTCGGGTACTTGTTAGTAGGGGGATGTGATATCTTTTTGGGCTAGAGAAAACCCTCAAACATAGGGTTTCTTGGTAAGAAACATGACATGATTGGTTTTAGAATGGTTTTAGCACATTAAACAATAGGACAAAGAAATAAAGGTGATGAATTATCCTGATGTCTGGCCAACATCTTTGGAAACAAAAACGCATCATATCCTGCTGTAATCAAACATGGCAATGGAAAATGTTCCATTGTTGATTTTCCCAGCTAGAAACCTCTATTTCGTGTGGGGATTTCCCCATGTGTGAGCAAACAAAGGAAGGTTTTTAATGCCCGTGATATTCTCAACGATTATCCCAAGTATATCCCAATGATATTCCCATAAATCCCTATAGATCCCAGGGTAGATGCTACATTTATAGGGATGACATTCCATTTTTTCCCATGGCTGTTCCAAGTATATCCCAATTCGATCCCCATAAAATCCTATAACTCCCTATGCCCTATGCATCCCCTGTGTTTGATGGATGACTCCGCAGCGCCTGGTCAGCCGTACAACGCTTCCCCATGCAACATCTCCATTGTTTGAGGGTTGAAGGGACAATTGAAAGCGGAAACCCTTTTTCGACGAAATAGTGCGGTAAGAACTATTGCGGAAAAATAGGGAGGTAATAAAATATATCATATATAATATTGTATATACAATAGCTATTGCGAACAAAAAATGAAAAGGTAATAACTACGGCATAAGGTTTCAACCGTACCATGGAACATCCTCAAGTCAATGGCCATTCCAGGTACCTAAACTGCTACTGTAATAAAGCAATAATTTGGGGCTATTTTCTCCCTTAGCCCTTACATATTTCAAAAAATGGAAGGTACAGTACCTCCCATTTACCTGAAATAGCCAGTGATTCAACCAATCCACTCCACTGATATAGAAATCTGTTGATATATCATATCAATTCATATCATTTATGTACCATAGACAATGGGATTGAGCGGTGTTCAAGAAACGAATTCTCATCCCTTTTGATCCTGCTGGCTTGAGAACGGGATTTTTCTGGATGTTTCTGGATTCTGATCTTCTCCAAATTTCTCTAATGTACAAAGGTTTAAGGTTAATCATCAACTCATATATCATAATATATACATTAATATACATTCTACATTCATTCTACATTCATTGAAACCATTAACTAACTCAGATATCATATACATTAATTCATATACATTCTACATTCATATACCATTGAAATCAGATAAGAATACCTTATAGAATACCTATATCAACCATCGAAATTCATCCCCTTGAAGAATCATCAACTCACCGCCACCGCTGGGTTTTTCGTGGCCTGAAATAACTTCTCGTGGTGCACCTGGAGAAGACCATACGCCCAGGCCTTACTCTCAGGACATCGACACGCGATACGATACCACCGGTTTTTTGATCAGTAAATATTAGCCTCTGGTTATGACTAACATAGCCATGGAAAATCACCATTTTTAATATGTAAACCATTTACATAGCCATGGAAAATCCCAACCATAAATGGAAGTTTCTAGCTGGGAAAATCATCTATTTCAATGGGTCATCGAAAAACCATGGCTATGTTAGTCATAACCAGAGGGTAGTTGGATATGATGTGGTCATATTTACTGGCAAATATCAGTCATTTTTTGTGGTAATATTTGTAGAATTTAGAATTTAAATAATGTTATGCAAATCGAAAAAAAAACAATATAGAAAAGTAAAACATCATCAAATGCGCGTAAGGATTTACGCATTTCTATATTTTTGAATATGATTATCAGAATGGAATTCTGTAAAACCTGCAACATGTGTGAATGATCTAGGCACTTTTGATAAGAATGTTTCTGGGCAACAAAAACAACTCATCAACCTGGATTTCCAGACCTGAATCCGTGGCATGATGGTTGGGCCCAAAAAAAAACACCGTGCAGAGCGCATGTGTAGACCATCACCACCCATGCTGCCACGAGGCAATGTTCGCCAGTTCACCACAGTTCGCAGTATGGACCTGGCGGCTGCAGAAAATATGAAATCCTACTGCTACTCTTGACCCACCGTATTGGCATCGCAAGCATTAGAATTCATCACGAGTGGCTAAGCACTAAATACATGTAAATACTCAGAAACTCACGTGGCGAAGCTCAAAATGACTCACTGACGCCGCCTGGGAGATCAGGTGGTCACCAATGGCCTGAAACAAGTGCTCTTCTTTGTGCCTGCCAGGGATGAGAAAATCAGCATGACCCATGTGGCTATGGATGGTGACCCATCACCCATCCCCGCCTAAAAGCTGCAAAAGCCCATGTGATGGTGACCAGACATCGGAGTGTAAATTCCTGGCGTGTCACAGGTGGTGCTTGGGAAGGTGCTACTCCAAATGGTGTGTCTTGTTCTAACACGGGAACACTATGGAACATTGTCATAAATCATGCAATTTGAGGGTCACTCCCATTTCGAGACAACGAAAAAAACATGAGACAACTCCCTGGCAGTGTCTCCTTCTCCACCTTCGTGTCTTAGTACAGTATTTTGTTTGGCAGCATTGTGAGACCTACTGGAGATATCTGGCAGTGTGTCAAAACCTGGTACCCCTGGTGAACATCAAAATAGCTGGTAAATGGATGTTCATCCCCCTAAAAATGGTATTAATAGGTATTGATCCATACCCATCTACCCCCATGTTCAGAACAACATCACAATCTCTGCCAGGTCCTCCAATATTCTTGGCCAAGTGAGTGGTTGACGTCCCGGGAGTCCCTTCGTTTGCTGAAGCCTAGCAGTAAGATCTAATATCCTAACAGCACGCTGCAACTTCATTTGTTTTAAGTGGCGAAAATTCCACATTCCCATTGCACAACGTGATCTCAAGATATCTCAAGTATACGTATTCATTACCCTCCGGTAATCTAACATAGCTATTGAAAATGGCCCATTTATAGTTGATTTACCTATTAAAGATGGTGATTTTCCATAGCCATGTTAAATTGCCAAAGGGTAATGAAGAATGTGCAAGCAAATCAATGCATTTGTTAGGAACACCACGCACGCAGTTCCTGTGTTGAAAATCATTGATGCTCACCACCGCAATGCTGGCCACAGTAAAATCCCGTCGCAAATTCTCTTCGCAAAATCCCCACGTCTTTATTGACGAAACTTATTTGTTTGGTCGTCAAAATCAGATCCTGTGAATTTCAAAGTCCCGGCAAAATCCTGTGCATCGCTGAACCAAATCCATATGTTTTTGTCGCTCAAACCCACAATTTTTCCTCGTAAATTTTAGAGAAATCCTATTTCATTCAGCCAATTGTATCCTCTTGATATTCAATTCAATCCTGATGTATCCCCATAAATTCCAATATGTTAATCCCTGTTTAGTTGGTATAAATCATGTGTTGTTTGATTTTTCTGCTATGTCCATTACAATCTCAATAAATTCCATAAAAATGCAATGATCAGTCATCAAAATATATCCCATTACCGAAGGGTATGCTCCCATATGTTTTTCCGTATACCCAATAAAAATCATCTAAAGTATTCTAAAGTCATTTAAAACCAGCTAAAATCATCTCAAATTCCAATCATCCCAAAATTTCTCAAATCATTTCAAACCATCTCAAATCATTTCAAATCATCCAAAATCATCTACCCTCTGGTTATTCAACATAGCCATGGAAAATCACCATTTTTAATAGGTAAACCATCTATTTCTATGGGCCATCTATACCATGGCTATGTTAAATAACCAGAGGGTAGTACCATTTCTTACTAAGGAATGTATGGTCTAAACCATCCCCCAGAGGGTTGCTATGGTTAAAATCCCATGACTATCCCCATAAAACGCTGGCTTTTAGCACCCCCGGGGAACCCCCGCGGGCCGCGTTTTAGCGTACCTCCAGAGATCTTGGCACCACCGAGGCGGCGGCCTCGAAGAGTTGCGCGGCACCTGGGGCCAAATGTGGGTTCCATCGTTGGGGAAATGTTCCATGTTTGATGAGAGGAATATCATGGGAATATCTCTGGAATATCATGGGAATATCTCTGGAATATCATGGGAATATCTCTGGAATATCATGGGAATATCTCTGGAATATCTCTGGAATATCATGGGAATATCTCTGGAATATCATGGGAATATCTCTGGAATATCTCTGGAATATCATGGGAATATCTCTGGAATATCATGGGAATATCTCTGGAATATCATGGGAATATCTCTGGAATATCATGGGAATATCTCTGGAATATCATGGGAATATCTCTGGAATATCATGGGAATATCATGGGAATATCTCTGGAATATCATGGGAATATCTCTGGAATATCATGGGAATATCTCTGGAATATCATGGGAATATCTCTGGAATATCATGGGAATATCTCTGGAATATCATGGGAATATCTCTACCATAGGTGACCCTTTTACTGAAGAACCTGGGGTGATTGATAGCTTTAATGCGAAACATCGGGGGTCCTGGTACAGAGAGAAACATATATATATATATGTATGTATATGTATATATATATATATATCAATATATATATATACACATATAATTACATATATGTATATACATATATATATATATACACATATAATTACATATATGTATATACATATATATATACACATATAATTACATATATGTATATACATATATATATATATATAATTTTCCCACCTGGTCCTGGAGATTTTGGTAACAAATATCTCAGTCAACATCTCAGTCAGCGCTGAGAGCCGAACAGCCACAAAGCTCCGGATTGGCCAAATTCATCTTGCCAAAAGACCTCGCATCCCATGTCTGGTTGGTGGTATACCTACCCCTCTGAAAAATGATGGACTTCGTCAGTTGGTATGATGAAATTCCCAATATGATGGGAAGAATAACATTCATATATTGACCATATCAACCATATAATGACTTTCCATATATTGGGAATTGACCATATTATATCATATATTAACATATATTAACCATATTTGGTTCCAAAGCACCAACCAGTTTCATTTCATCCCATGAATTTCATAACGGGATAACCGGAAAATGCCCAGAAAACTGGTACCATTTTTTTCCATTTTGAGACCGATTCCGTATAAAAGTAGCATTGTCCAGATTTTCCAATGGCCATAAATTGGCTTACCATTGTTGAGATACACCACAGGATTGGAAAACACTGTGGAAGATGGTTGCACTATTGAAGTCGCAGGACTTCCTTTCTTGTTGTAGTCCCTATTCATCCGGCTGTTCCGGCGATTAACCTACAAAAATCTATAAAAAACAGATAGACAGGAATAAAAACTATACGGGTGTATCTTAAAATGGGATATCTCCCCTATCTCATGATAGGGAATTTTGATGATAAGCCACTGGATTTTATGTTTTTTCCCCTACTTTTTTTTTCAGACAAGTCAACAATTTGGGATTCCCTCATCAACTGCGCGGCAAGTGCTATCCCTTCGTTTCTCCAGGACCAGTTTGGGGCAAACGGATCACAGAGGCTGGGGCCCATCAAAAGCACGTTCCCAACAAGAAAAGGAGCAGGTCATGGGGTGGGGCCTCATCTGGGAGTCATGCCAGTTCGATATCTACAATCTACACATATCTGACATATCTGACCACCCCTCCGTGGTCACCACGGTACTACCGCTACCACGTGTCACTTCCCTTGATGTTTCACGATGTTCCTTGTTTTTGGGCCCTCAGGGAGATCTGTGTCACCAGGCCAGAGGATGGTGGATAACTCAAAAGGCTTAAAGGTCTCCACCTGGACGAAATGGGGAGCGAGTAAGGCTGAGCTGCTTAGAGTTTCGGCACATGAAATCGATCAGCAGCTGTTTTTTGATGAATTTGGATCATTGGACATAAGAATTCTAGACATATAGAGTTTTCCATTTCCCATGGTTTTAAGCACAGTTCAAACCACTTGTCTTCACGTCGTGTTTATGCACCAGCTGATTACCACTGCCCAATGAGGACCTGGGGAATGGGACGAGGAGCCCAGTGATGTTTCTTGCTTTATAAACCCGCTGTCACTACAGCAACTATCAAATACTTCACCATGTTTTAACTATATACATGGTGAATAAACATGGTTTACTATAGTTAAATCATGTTGATATAGTTAACCATATAGTTACCTAACATGAATTAACTATATACAGTACATGCATAAATCCATGGTTAAATCATCAAATCCCTCAGAAACCCAACAGTTCACCCAGCGAAACTCAACTTGGCTGTCGTCGAGCGGGGCCTCATCTTGTCATTATCTGAAACTCGGGCGGGTTTTTGTCTGCTAGCTGCTAGCGAAACTTATCTCGGGTTACATGCGCATTGTTGGTGTCATACTCATATAGACTGACGATGTCAGAAAATCCTATCTGATAATGTTCCGAAGAACTCAAATCCCTACCCTCCCAGATTTGGTGTAAAGAAAAATCTACAGGATAACATGTTATATATATATACATATATATGTTGGGAAAGACCATGTTTTCTTGCAGATGTTCTCTTAAACCAATCAATTGATTCCAGCACAAGCTACCTTTCAATAATGCTCTTGCCATTTCAGATAGCCAAGTTTGTTGCTTCCATCTCGGGTTTCTTTGTTCCATCAGAAGATACTTGGACATGATTAATTCTTCACCAAGCTTCCAGCCAACACAATTAGACCATGAGAATCACATCGATTTGGAAGTCTGCGAATCCACATGAACGGCAGGGTCCAGGTCAATTGGAGGCAGGCAGGTCTTAATTTATTGGTTACATCAACTGCTGATAAAACACCTGCATTTTTCTCGGTCAAGTATTTTGTGTTTTTTTCTGCTGGATGACTCCCTGGGTAACTCCCGTTCTTCCCATGTTCATGGCCAATCTTAGATACCCTGCATGTTCTTGTTTTAGCTGGTTAGTACATATATATATATATATATAGCCATTTATGATCATTTGTGATAGATTAAGTCGTATTTATGATAGATTAAGTTGCAGTGATGGTAAATTAAGTTAAGTAATATTCATCCAAGAATTCCCAAATGTGCCCTTTCCACGCCTGACTCTGAGCTGGAGTCGCGATCGCCTACCACGGCACTGGCTAAGGGGATGGTGTAGGATGAAATAGGATGATTTTTGGGTCTAACTTAGCACAGATTTGACGACTGGAAACTGTGGTGTTTACCATTTTTAACCCCCCAAAATAAAATAAAAAAAAGATATGGGGGATAGGTCAAAACTCAAAACCTATCATGAACCTAAATATTTCTGGGGATAAACATCCAAATTCACCAGCTGTTTTGCGGTACAAAAACCAGGTATCCGGTATCAGGGTTTTGACTCATATCCATATCAGGGAAAGCCTCAGGAAACCATGAGGGGGTTCCTGCAAATCTTTCCTTTCAACCAATTTTGACAACTGGCACACATAAATCCCAAATGATATCGATTGTGGAAACATGCAGAAATATGGAATGCAGTAACTCAGTAATAATACATCCATTGAAATTCCCACATTACCAATCCAGTTCACACAGTTCATCCACAAATATTGGGCTAAGATAGGAAATTCACGGACGGGATAAGGAGCTGATTCAACGGGCGCCCTACAGTTCAGGATGGAGGCAACCAGCAAAGTTATGCGTCCCCCGGCGACAAATCCATAAGAAAGCTGGTCTACCCTCTGGTGAACTAACATAGCAATGGAAAGATCCACCATTTTTCATGGGAAAATCCACTATTTCTATGGCCATTTTCCATTGCTATGTTAGTTCACCAGAGGGTATCCAAGAAAAGAGGCGCTGGGAGGAATGCTTCAAGAGAAAACACCGACCTATACACATTTCCACATTTCTTCGTCCGAAGGAACAAAGGCCCAATCAACCATGACTTCTCTGGGCATCGGACAAAACCATCACAGCCTAGATCTGACATGACATAGGTCTTACCATCTGGTTATGACTAACAGTTTGCCATGGAAAGATCCACCATTTTTGAGTTCGGTAAACCATCTATTTCTGTGGATCATTGTTATTTAACACAGTTTGCCATGGAAAATCACCATTTTTGATAGGTAAACCATCTATTTCTATGGGTCATCGAAAAACCATGGCTATGTTAGTCATAACCAGGTTGGGTAAACATGGGCGTTTTCGCCGTCCAAACCTCCCCACGCCTATTTTAAGGTCGATGCCGAGCAGCCAAGTGCCACTGGAAAAAACTATCGCTGCCACAAAAGGATCAGCTGGTGCCCAACGTTGTCCCACGTGGGTTCAATTCATCCCCACAAAAATCGTAACATCTTGTGGTTTGGTCATATATGTCATATATATGTCATATATGTCATATATGGCATATATGTCATATATGTCATATATGTCATATATGTCATATATGTCATATCACACCCACTCAAACTCAAAAACTCAATGCTTGGAATGTCTCGGATTTCTTTCATCGCCACGGCCGTTCCTTCTGGTCGTGGCACCTGGGTCCCTATAGATATCACCACTTCACAGCAGTCGGGCACTCAGCTGATGAAATCTACCGCTCAGACAATCAGTTCAGGCAGACAGACGCATCTCCCAATAAACCTCAGTCACCCGTTGGGCAGTTGGACCGTTGGACATGCAACGCAGGAGGCTTGGGGGATGGGGGACGAAAGCTCCGATCTAGAGAACCTGCAATAATTTGATGTCCGAAAATCGAATGGTGATATTTTCAGACATGCTTTTCTTGTGTGCTCAATCATGATCTGCCGCATCACACCCAAGATCTCTTGATATCCAGTTCTATCATTCAATCCGTCGAAGCATCCATCGATTTCTGTGTGAAAAATCCCTTGGATCTGGCTGTTTTTTTTGAAAGTCCCCAGTCCCCATCTCCGAATGGTAAAACAATGCCATCTTTTTCAACCATCCCCCAAAGTCAGACCACTATTTCTATGTGGTAAATAAAAAAAACAGTCATGGTTGGTTTATGTCATTGTTTTACCCACATTAAGTTTCTAAAACCGATCCGTTGCGCGTTGGATGCGGACTCCCCTGGCAACGCCGCGCCACCGTTGCGGGATAATCATGGCACAATGTGGCACCGCGGTGCCCTTCATGGCCGCCTGAAGGCTGGACTTGTAACTTGCTTCACTATCTATAATATATATATATACACTGGTTGGTGGTTTTAACCATCTTGAAAAATGATGGAGTTCGTCAATGGGAAGGATGACATCCCATATATGATGGAAAATAAAACATGTTCCAAACCACCAACCAGTATATATATAGGGTTTATGGATATTGTGGATGGTGGTTGATGTTAAACACCCTGATGTCATGCTGATCATATACTGGTTGGTGGTTTCAACCCCTCTGAAAAATATGAAAGTCAGTTGGGATGATGAAATTCCCAATATATGGAAAAATAAAATTCATGTTCCAAACCACCAACCAGTATAGAGTTTATGGATGTTTCTGGGAAATATAGCAATAATCACTAAAAAAGAGGAACATCCATGAATAGGGGTACACCTCAATCATCCGATTTATAGATGGATTTTCCTCTGGAAATAAACCATCCATTTAGAGGTAGCCCTAGTTCAGGAAACCATCATATAGATTCATATAGGGTTTATGGGAGATATAGCAATAATTACTATGGGATTTCGCGGGGTTCATAAACCGAAGAAAACTTGGGGGTATCACCCTGCAGGATCAGATGGGACCTTTGGAAATTGAAAGGGTGAATTAAGATAGTAATTGAGTGTTATGATAATATGTCATGTACCCTCTGGTAATTTAACATAACTATGGAAAATCAGCATTTATAGTGACATTTCCCATGAAAAATGGTGATTTTCCATAGTTATGTTAGTTTACCGGAGGGTATCTTTATGTATCTGGCATTTTCTAAGGGATAGGAAATTGGATGTTCCAAATCCATGTTGTTGTGACAAAAACTTGATTTGCAAGCACCAAATGGTTCCCCATTTATAGGAAATATTAATGAACAGCCAAAGCTCCGAATCGCTCTCACCACTGGACAGAAAAAAGAAACTTCGTATCAAGTGAGATCATCCCGTATAAATCATCCCTCTATATATAATAATCCCTCTATATAATCACTCTATATATCATAAATCATATACTCCCTCTATATATCCCATGAGATCTGCATGATATCCGCATGATATTCCCATCTCCTCCCCCGGATTTCGATCTTGGCCTTCAGCGCGTGGTAGGCCAAGCAGGTGAAGTCTGCGGGCTGCGCCTGCTTCGTGGTTTCCACGTTGGTGGCCACCTGGACCCGCTTTCCTATGATCAATGGATTGGATTAGGGAAAAATTTACAGGAAAGCCCCATATTTCATGAATTTAATGGGAAAATCTATGGTTTCCGGTTAAGATTTTCCCTTAAACTCATCCATTGAGATGATATACCTATTTAGAGAATGATGTTATATTTAGATCATGTGAGCTAGGACCTCCAAAAAAGAATATTATATACAGAAGTACGGGTCAAAATGTGCCAATGGACTCACAAATCTGGCTGTCTTTTGGGAATGAACATAAACAAGTTTTGCAATGTTTTGCACAAATTTGTTCTCACTTTTAGGGTCTGATACGATCCATCTTCGGAGTCAATATTTTTAGCATCTAGCATCCTGGAATATAAAGTGATGGAAATAGATTTTTCAAGATACAGAAAAGATGATGACACTGATCCAGTTGACAACCTTCAAACACTGAAGTCAATAGGTTCTAATGGCTAACTTTTTGAATGTGTTTTTTAATAAGTCCGTTTTTGTTGGGTGAGGTTCCCGACTTTCTGGTATCCCGAGAGAACGGATCCTGCAAACTCTGCAAACTCCATCTGAAAACATCTGCAAAACTGTCTTAAAACCTGCATCACCAAACGCTACTTAAAACATCTACAAGTTGGGTTCCTCTGAAAATGTGGTACCCTCAAGTCCAATGCATTGCATTAGATCTACAAAAAATCCGCATGAAATGGCCATTTGGGAGCTAAAAAAAAACAGTCTTAGACACACCCATATGCTCTGGGAGCTTCAACTAATACTTCAAGCGCCAAGTCGCAGTAATCACAAAGTCATCTTCCGGAACATAGGTGGTCTGCGATTGATAGCCATAGGTGTCTCCCACATGGCCATATGCAGCACCACTCCCAATGCTCCAGTCCAAGTTGAAGGTGCCCATGCCGTAGAACTTCATCATACCTCACCACTGGTGCAGGGAATCCCCGCAGAAGCCAGACTATGGACGTTTTTCAGAATAAGGCCCTTGCATCTCAAAAAACAGACCCTTGACAAATTGATGATGAGGCCCAGGAGCCTCCACTCATCGTGCTGAAGTTCGTCAAGAGGGCTTGACTGGATGCTGAGAGAATGGTAGGTTTCCTGGGGCAGCCACTCACAAAACATCAGACCTTCGGCTGCATCTGGACCGTCAGGCCTTTGGAATCCAACATGCTCAACTTAAATAGTTGTGAATGTTCATCCCATTTTCAGGCACTTCGCCTTGGATTTCTTCAAGGGACTCAAAAAGAGCAAAGATTCCCCAAATGGATTTCCCATTGGGAAAATAACACATCGCCTTCAACCAACCCAGGTAGTTCCCTGCCATCTTCCGAGCATCTTGGTATTATAGAGCTCATAGGTAAATCTCGCCACATCTGCCACCGAGCCCAGGTAGTTCCCTGCAGTCCAACCACCCAAACAGCTCACATCCCAGACGTCTTGTTTCGGCAACTGAGCTGATGGATAGAACTCCATGAAGCCGTGCACAACAGTGAAATCGCTGCAGGGACCAGACCTGGAGCGATTTCAAGATGACTTCACCCAGTAAAAATCCCATGGGAACGGAAAATCATAAGTTCCAGCTATGAAGTTCTAAGTCCCCAATGCGTGGGGACTATAGGCGCCATTCAACTGAGAAAGTGCTGAAAGATTTTCGCAAAGTACAGTGCGTTGGGATTGGCAGGATTTAATGGACGCGGTTGCGTTTAAGGTGTAACCCTTGGAAGTGGAGCGACGACAACCTCTGAGGGAAGCTGCAAAGCTTTCATGTCCAATTAGATGGGGTCTAGGTCCATCAAAGGAAATCTATATTGGCCACTGCTCAGTGCCCCCAATGCTATGTCCATTTAGGAAAAAATACGGGCCCGGTTTACTATTTCAATTTAACAAACAAGCAATGATTGAAATAGAAAATTATGAATTGCTAAACAATCAATTGCCATCAATTGACTATTTCATTGATTCTTCAAGCATTTATTGCGTGACTATGACAGATTCACAATGGAAGTTGAGGAACCTTTTCGCCTTGAGTTTGGTATCTTCACTGCTGGGCTGCTGGCAGCTGGGTGAATTTACCAATTGGTCAATCATGGTCAATCTGACCCATGTCCAACCCCCCCCGAAACCTCACCACACATGTTCCAAACGCCAGGATTCACGCCACGATTTGGCGATTCCTCTGGTCACAAATCTCCAGTTTTGTTCGTCTAGTTCGTCTCGGTGTATCCTTCACAATTTCATGGATTTCCCCATCATTTCATGGATTTCACCTCAATAGAATTCAATAGAACTGTAGTTCTTCCACCATCTTCCACCCAGAAATCATCAGAAATCAAGCCAGAGAAACATCACAAACTTCGAATGCTGGAAGGCTTTTTGCAAAGCCTGTGGGATCACGGTGAATTGGTCGTACTGTTGCCATGACCAAGGGCTGTCGGGCTGGTGGTAGTGGGTAGCCAGGACAAGACCCAACAGGATGTAGTTGGTGCTGCAATACATCCTGAGGTTCCAGGGAGGTGAATGGAGGTGAATTGAGGTGATGAATGCAAGAAGCTGGAAATCCAATACAATTTTTCAGTGGGGATGTAATGTGACTGTCAATGGATTCATTCTTAGAGTTTTCCGGTTTCGACTTTGCCTGAGATCACCAAGTCCAGAATTCTGAGATCACCAACAGATCACCCGGAAATCCGCAAGCCAAAGCAGGATGATACTCCAACAGTCAAATCACAGTCAAATCTCTCAACAAATTCATGGGAGATCAAAAATGGACCTATCTATCTTCAATATCCAGATCCTGTCACTATCACGTATTTTTTATCTCTCCAATGTTAGATGTTAGATGACCCAATGTTTTCATCAATGTTAAGTTTAGCAGCTGTTCTGGACAACATCAAAAGATCCGGATGTGGATTTGGCTGTTTCAACAGGGTCCACCTACTAACGGGTTATGTAATGATTTTGTGTCTGATGTAACCTACATCCAATTTGCCGGACTTCGGAATTTGGGTGGTTAAGAATTCATCCAACATCGCCCAGCGTCTGTTTCGTTCCAGGTGTGGATTGCAACTCTGGACTGACGAATTTGCCAATGATCTCCTTGGCATCTGTTTGTCAAGATGGGGAAATATAAGGTTGAATGGTCAAAACGAAGCCATTAATCAGGAAATAATGGGATATCATGGGATATATCATGGGATATAACATGGGATATAACATGGGATATATCATGGGATATATCATGGGATATATCATGGGATATAACATGATATAACATGGGATATAACATGGGATATATCATGGGATATATCATGGGATATATCATGGGATATATCATGGGATATATCATGAGATATAACATGGGATATAACATGGGATATAACATGGGATATATCATGGGATATATCATGGGATATATCATGGGATATATCATGGGATATAACATGGGATATATCATGGGATATGTCATGGGATATATCATGGGATATATCATGGGATATAACATGGGATATAACATGGGATATATCATGGGATATATCATGGGATATATCATGGGATATATCATGGGATATATCATGGGATATAACATGGGATATAACATGGGATATAACATGGGATATAACATGGGATATAACATGGGATATATCATGGGATATATCATGGGATATATCATGGGATATATCATGGGATATAACATGGGATATAACATGGGATATATCATGGGATATATCATGGGATATATCATGGGATATATCATGGGATATAACATGGGATATAACATGGGATATATCATGGGATATCTGACCAACAAATAGCTACCCAATATCATGGCTTTGTCTCAAGACGAAGAAAAAAACGGCTGGGGGCAGGGAGCGCTTGACCAATGATGGGATTTAACTAGCAATGATGGGAATCTAACTATATTTAACTAGCAATAATTCGGATTATGGGATATGATATATATATATAATACAATACAATATAATATAATATAAAACAATATAATAGTATAATATAATTTAATATAATATAGCACAATATAATATAGCACAATATAATGTTATATTATATTACACAATATTTTAAATATGTTATTATATATATATATATATATTTGTTATTATTATTAGTATTTATTATTATTATATATTATATGTATACTATTTTTATATATTATTATATATTGTGTATATATATATGTCTATTATATATTGTATATATATATTATGTATATTATAATATTATGTATGTATATATATATATTATCATATATTGTGAAAATATTATTATTTGTATATATCATTATATATATATATATTATTACAAATATTATTATATATATATATCATTAGATATATTATTATACATATATATATTATTATATATATTATTAAATATATTATTATTCTATATGTATTATTATATTATATAATCATATATTGTATATATATATTATGATTTGTATATATCATTATATGATATATATATATATTATTATATATATTATCATTATTATATATATTTTTTTATTATGATTATTATTATATTATTATTATTGTTATTATTATTATATATATTCTGATTATATTATATATATATATATGTATGGCCAATGTGGGATTCACCCATCTAGGGTTTACTGTAAAAAATGGGGTTGCTTTGAAATGGGTTTACCACATTACACATCATTACACTACAATAACTACTACCAGGTCAATTGTTCTAAATCATGGTGAATTTACCCATTAAGATTGGAGATTATGGAATATGGGGCAGTCCCCGTGTGCAAATCACCAAGCAAAACCGGATCCCAAGAAAAACAACAGTATACCCGCAATAACATTATAAAACATTATATATATGTATTACCAGTGGTTTCCTTAACAGCGGTCGGTTTTCCAGGTCCAGAAATCAACCATGAACTCTGAGACCCTATTGGAAATGCCCATCTCGGGTTGTCTCAAGGCAACCGAAATTCCCTTTGTTTGATCATGTTGCTCATGAAAGGGTTGCTCCCAACACCTCCAGATACGTTTGGGTGTGGAAACTGGGTCATGCAGTGCATGCAAATCCACATCTTTTTTGGTTGATTCTCCAATTTTTGATGGTTAGAATGGTTCATTTCTACAATGTTTGATGACTAAAATGGTTGATTCCCCAATTTCTGATTGTCTAAATGGTTGATTCCCCAATTTTTGATGGTTAACATCTGGTGCCAGGGGCCATGGGGCCCATTTCTGCCAAGTCTCTACAGGCCCGAAGGCCTTGGAACGGTTCGCGAATTGCGCCTTGGAAAAGGCCTCCCCGTCGTAGTCTTGGATGCCACTGGTCATGTGCAACAAATGCCTGTGGCGTTTGCAAACATGTCAAGGCAGGTGCAAAAAGAGAAAATAAGTCTCAACAAGTTTCAGTTTCCGGGAGTTTTGAAGCCAAAGCTTAGCTACGAGCGGATTTCTCGAACATAGCCAAACTTAAATACCGTGCGAAAAACTATGTGTTTTCCTGGTTAGATGATTTAGATATCCCCATTTATAGCAAAAGATTAAAGTGTTCACATCTAAAGTTTTCCCCACACAGATTCTTACAAATATGAACAACTCTGGACATTTGTTTCTGGATACAAGTTAAATATCATGAACAATTCTTGGTACATGGTACACTTCCCGGGCCCAACCTCCATCAGTGGTTCCATGGTTTTTTTTAACACCAAGGTGCTGAATCTGCACCTGGTCGATGGCAGCTCCGAAGTGTTGCTCCAGTTTGCTGTGATTCAGCGCCCACAACGTGGGATCGATGTGGGCCGCGATGGGGTCATCCAGTTGCACCTGAGATCACCGGAGGACCGGGATCAAAATGGCAGAATCTGGGACTCAAATGGTCCAGAAGTGGGTTAAAACAATGCCATTTGCACCCATCCCAAAGTCACCATTTCTGGTGGTATAAACTTACCATTCCCAGTCATTTTGGTGGTAAAAATGACATTGTTTTACCCACATTAGCTGTTTTTCTGTGGCGGTTTTATGATAATTCCTTTGCCTGGACGACGAATATCACATCCACTGCCGTATTTTACAGGACTTGGTTCGGAAACAACCGGTGCCCTTGGTGAACATACAGAATATGTTGTCATAATAGTCTTTGGGTGGGATGAAGCATATACATGTATGTATATATATATATACATACATACATACATATGTATATATATATATATATATGTATATAACTGTATGTATATATATATACATGTATATATATATATACATACATACATACATGTATATATATATGTAAAATTATGTAAATATGTATTAGTACATGTATATCTGTACTATCCATTTGGAAGGATTCCATGGGTTTGAACTGAGACAATCACTATCCTCTGGCCATCAAACATGGCTGGAAAACCCTCATCATGGGAAAATCATGGACGTACATGAATAGAAATTGGATGGTTTTCCAGCTAGGCAGGATAGATTGCCACAGGGTGCCGAGCATCCCCCGTGTTTGGTTTGTTACACCTAGTTTTATCACCATATTCTGCCATTTTTGCTGTTCTGATGATTATAGATTCAGGATCTATTTGGCTTTGTCTGAAAATGAGATACCTAAGTCCCCATTTTTTGCGGGTGAATTCCCAAGTTCTTAAGTTAAAACCGCCCAATTTTTGCGGAGTCGTCCTCATTCTTCAATCAGTTTGATCCCAAGACGGACCCGGCCTTGCCCTGCTCCACCAGCTGCAGCACCGCTGGAGCAGTGAACATCTTCGTGGTAGAGCCCCAGACCTCGCGTGGCGTAGCAATGCGTAGCACATGGGGAACCTGGGGAACCTCCAAGATCTACATCCCCCAACTCTGGTGGAGGGTAGATGTACAAAGCCTTGTTGCTGGAGCAAACATCAAACATAGCAATGGAAAATCACCATTTTTAATGGGAAAATCCACTATAAATGGCCATTTTCAATAGCTATGTTAGTTTACCAGAGGGTACCTTTAAGCATGTTCCTACCTTCTCCCAGTTTATTGCAAAAAAAAACGCCGTCACAGTAAGCTATCCCCCACCCCACTTGATGACCCAAAAATACACCATGACCGGTAATTTACCAGTTTGCGAACTGGAACATTACCATCTCAGATGATTCATCTGTGTGCTTTTGTGATGTTCAAGATTACCAAAGCATAACTATGCTATGCTATTTTCATAGTACAATTTGATGCTGATGTAACGTAACCATTTAAATTTCAGATTTTCGTTACATCATCAAAGTACCATAGCTACTGTGGATGGTTGCATCATCCTGCACCACCAAAAGGATTGTTGAAACCCTATAAATAATGGGATGTTTACCATCAACTGGTGCAGCATGTCTTCCATCAGTCCCAGTTTTCTCCAAGACTCATAGAGGTCATCCCCTTTGGCCAAGCGGGTCTTGTTGCCCATGCCCAAACCTGGCACAATGGACACGGCTGTGACATGGGAAGATGAAGAGATTCTGGGTGGATCATTTTTGGTGGTGAAAACAATGATACCCTCTGGTAATTAACATATATAGACCCTGGTAGATAGGGGTTGGAAGATTAGTTTCCTCTAAAAATTGGTGATTTTCAGGGTCTATTTTAATTTACCAGAGGGTAAACCATGATAAACCACCCTAATTTTTGGTGATGACTGGGGGATGGTAAAAATTATTGTTCTACTCACAAAAAATCCTGAAAAAATGGGGTCTATGAGGCTCCAGAAAGTTAGATCCAAGAAGATATTCATGTAAGATGAACTCAGGTTTAACTAGAAGTGTATCAAGGGGGTTGCAGTGCTTCCCATGTTTGCAGCAAATGATCACTCTTTTTTTGAGTCGCCCTTTTTATAGTCAGGGTTTATTGATCCCACAGTTGACATTATGCTGATAATCCGTCTACTAAGTTCACTGTTCTCAAGATGCTGTTGGAAAGAAACCATCATCTGGGTGGGAAACTCTGATTGTAGCTCTGAACCGCTGCCCCATGGCTAGGGAATATGGATACCCCCGGCACCTGAATTTTCCCTGGCATGTTGGACCAGGCGAAATTTGTTGCTTGCATCCATATGATTCCCAAACATTTTTTTGGGCAAACTTTTCATGCAAACTCCAGCGGTAAAGGTTCCATTCAACTGCCCCCAAAAAAAACTCGATTCAGAATCATTCATGTTTAACTCCCCAATGTTCAACTGTTAAATATGATTCCTCTGTTGCTTGCTAGTCATCTTTCCATGTTTTTTCGCCTCCATCTTTTCCCCTTGATATCACTGGTCACCTGCATCGGTGTAACCCGAGGCAACGGTGAAATTCAGTTTCGGGGAGTAGAAGGCCGCGGCGATGCTCATGTCATACTTGTCCTGGGATATGGACATACGCGGGCACTGCGGGCCCTTCGTAAATGTCTCCAAGACCTCCAGTTACATGGAATATCCCCACTCATATATGGGAATATATATATATGTGTATATATATATATATGGGTTATATATATATATATGGGTTATATATATATATATGTATAAGGGGGTATAGATCATAAGCCACTTACTAAGTGGGACTGTGGGCTGTGGACAAAATCTTTCACCAGGCAGGGTGACTATTGGGATTCCTATGAAACAATGTAAATAATGGGAGAATGGGATAAACCATCTACCAACTGACCAACTGTTGCAGGATTTCGCAACCATCCACAGATACTAAGAATACACACTGGATATATGGAATCTATTCCAATGTTGTGCATATATACAAATCATATCTTGTGATAGTTGAATATAGCAGATATTTCTTGGAGATCTTGTTCACGCGAATGTTGTAGACTGGGATATATGGTCAAGATTTAAGCCCCTCGCCGAGCCTTGGGATTTCAACTGGCGATCCCTGGGAATCCTGGGACCTGGGGGGGAAAAAAAACAGACCTGGTGAAGCTGGAAAAAAAAGCTGAGACATGGGTCATTAAATGTCCCCATTGAACATCACCCAACCATTAGGTATATAGTCTATAATGGCTACTATAAGGTGATGTCCAATATACCCAAAATGGGACAGTTACCAACCCCTGAAAAAGCTGAGATCACCCTTTTCCCCGGATTTTTGAGCGGAGCAGCTCTCATTTGGTCAGCCACTCGCTCCTCAGTGTTCGGTTGCGTCACTTCGTGTTGACATCGAGACGTGGCGAGTTTAGGCGCAAAACATCACGAAATCTATGGAATTTGTGGATCCTGGTCACCCAAAATCTCTGTATTCAACCAAAAAATGATGAGAGTTCCACCTTAGATAACGTATATATCAAAAATCATATCTCAATTTAAAAAAAAAAAAACAGCTCAAAAACTGTTGAAAATCGATCAGAACACTGTGAAAACCATCGTTTATTTGGTAGGATGATAGCAGGCATTTTTATGGAGGAACCTCATCTCCACAGTTTCTGGAGCTGGTGAATCCCCTCTTTACGTCCCAAGTTTTGGGGCGAAATCCTGGTGACACGTTCCCGAAAGACACTGAGAATCCTCCAGTCACCGTGTCAGTTTTGGGGGGTTCCGTGTCAGTTTTACAGGGTCCCAGGCACTAAAAAACATCTGGGACCCAAGAGTCGCATGACTAGTTGGTATTTTCACTGACACTGTAGTTATGGACCGCAATCAACCACTAATCAACCAACAAGTCCACGTTGTTTGGGCAAACCCATATACCCTCTGGTTATTTAACATAGCCATGAAAAATGGCCCATTTATAGATGATGTTCCCATTAAAACCTCCATTTATAAGGGATTTTCCATGGCTATGTTAAATAACCAGATGGTAATCATGTTCAGACATAAACTCATCATATGATTGTTGATCATGCATATGTATCTATTCCCTTGCCTCCAAGATCCAAGGTACAAAGGGGGTAGACTGGCTGGTCATTTTCAGTACTGAACCCTCCATTTTTGGGGGGCGAATAATGTTGTTGCCAATTCCAAGTGTATCCATAGTATAAAGCCCACAAATTGGAGGTATTTAAATCTCCATCTCCCATTATATCCTGGTTGGTGGTATTCCTACCCCTCTGAAAAATATGAGTTCGTCAGTTGGGATGATGAAAGTCCCAAGTGAATGGAATAAAATTCATATTTCAAACCACCAACCAGTATCATATACCATTGTCGTCCATCCATATTCAGTTTAGTTTCACCCCGCTAAGTATCAACCTAGTGAGACGGACCAACTTGGCTATCGTGCCGGGGGACCCCCTTAGATTACAAACAACTACTATCAGCCGTTCTGCGACTATGATAAAGACCATACATCGCAAAGAAATCATCAGTATGTATATATATATAATTATAATAATAGAATATATGTATATACATATATATATATTATTATATATGTATATTAATTACATAAATTATGTATAATTACAGTATCTCATATTTTGTAACATAACATCATAGTTAACCTATAGTCCTAAATCCCAGTTAAAACTCATCGAGCGAGCGAAAAGGCTCCATGGCCGAGCGCAGCTGCTCCAGGCTCGCCTCGCCATCGCCGAAGGACGCGACGGCGGACGCGAGCAGGGACGCCGTGATCCAGCGCGCCATTTGGACACAGATCAGCCAGCGCCGCTTTAAGCGTTGAAAGAAATATATACTCCAACGAAAAAAAGTTCATTTAGTCATAAGAAAAAACATTTCATTGTAGATAAGAACACCGTCTTTGATAGTGAGAATGACAGTCTCTTATATTTTTAAAAAGAAAATATAGCAGTAGATGAATGTCATAAATGTCATATATATTCATATATCATATATATATAGTATGAAACCTGAGATTTCTTGATTGTCTCCATGTTTGATCAGCGGTGGGATCACGAGGATTCAACCAGCGTTGCGGGACGACGATGACTCGACGACTTTCGGATATGTGCCATGGTGAAGATGTGAAGAAATGTGATGCGCCACAAGAAAATGATCCATTTATATATCCAAATAATTTATAAAATCCATCAATGATCGCAACATTTATGATGATGCAAAGCGGAAGCGTGATGTGAAAGATGTGAAAGGGATATGTGAATACTCTTACCGCTTCTTGGTGCGTGTATATTACTACACTCCTACAATTGCAAAGATTTGGGTTCCTTGTCATACAGTCCTAAATTAAGCCCGATAGAAACCCATTGGTCCCGATAGGTGCTTTCATGTACTTTCATGGTTTTAGGCATCCTTGTGCCAAGGCTGTCATATCATCAAAATTCAACCACCGTGCGCGGACTCGCCCATTTTTTCAGGGCGTATCAAGCGTTTATCAACCACAACCCAGTAATAAATAGGGGGAAATAAAGGCTTATTAACAATCTATTGTACCATCTATTTATTACAGTAATATATAAGGCTTATTAACCCACTCATAACATGCATTCGGCATCTATATACCATCTATGGTAGCCCCCACAAGAGTTCGATGATTTTCCCGGCCCATCGAGTATCATCGAGTTCGCTCCGCCTTGAGCAACGGCTCATCAATAATATTCAACGTTGCCATGGCCCAAGTGATGTTCGCCAATGCCTGACCCGCGAGTTTTTACAGGACTTGAACATGTCTCAGATTCCGACATAAGGATACATAAGGGGGATAGAACTGAAGCTGAATCGAGTTTTCATTGGTTTCAAAGTTTCAAGCCATATGAAAAATATGAATGTCATAGGGAATCATCATCCCATTTCAATGGTAGAAAATCAAACAGGTCCCAACTTTGTAGAATGAGCCATGTCTTTCACCTGCGGATGCCGGACTGTTGCCATCAAAGACTGGGACATATGATGGTATGATATACCCTCTACTAGTTGAACATAGCTATGGAAATTCATCATTTTTAGTAGGTCAATCATCTATGAATGAAGTATGTTCCATAGTTTTGTTAAATTACCAGAGGGTGCCCTCTGGTAAACTAACATAACTATGGGGAATCACCATGCTATTAATGGGTAGTCATCAACTATATCGCCGTTTTCAATACTTCGCAAACTGTAAACGTTTACCAAAGGCTATGTTTATGTATGTTTGGTGCATACTTTTTCATATGTTTCATATTTTGCAATTTGGGCAACCGAATTGGTGGCCGTCTTCAATGTTGAACACCAGGTGTCGAAAACAGATATGGCAACCATCATCCAGTGATTAGATCCAATACATTCCACCAGAACATGGCAACCAAAAAATGGGGGGAAGGGATGAAAAATAATAGGACCATTTAAGATAACCATTTAATGATTAATGTAACATTAGATGGTTATGATGGTTATGATAATGGTTATGATTAGATAACCATAACAAAAAATTAATCATAAGTTCATCTAATGATTCTTCGATAAGTAATAATGATTGATTACTGAAGTTCGAGCGAAGGGTTCCTTGAACAACATGCTAAGTAGGGGTATACCGCTACATCCAACATATGTTATTATCCAAAAAACAGTAAGTGATTAGAATAACTAGTGGGATATACATACATAAATAGATTTTTACATACATAATACACATATATATATATATATACATGTTGATTATATATATAATGAAATATAAATAACACTAAATAACATGACTATTACTCTCATGATTATTAGTGTTATTATATATATACATAAATGTATATCATGCAATATTATTATCCAAATGTATATATATATACGTCCAATAACTAAATGGTGAGAATAACTAATGGGATATAGATTGATATAGATTATAAATACAATAAAACTAGGTTTCCAACTATTGAGATGTCTCACATTATCATATAATATATTTATGTGTGTGTTGTATAATTTTATATTTCATACAATATAAACTATGTAATAACATAGCTATGGAACATGGCCTGCGTGTAGATGATTTACACATCAAATCATATGAATATTGGTTATTGTCCATAGCCACGTTCAACAATATCACTATTATCATGGTTCTTATCGTTATTGTTGTTACATAATATATATATATATTACATACATAATGTGGGTTAATATGGTTGGTGCTTTAGACATATGTATATATATATATATATATCATTTATATTAATTTATTTGGTTACAATGCCATCTGCACCATCCCTCAGTCATCACCATTTTTAAAGGTGGTATGGTTACTACCATTCCCTGCCCAGGTCCTTCGGGGCCCAGCAGCGCGCCTGTGACGAAGGTTTAGTCCCGCTGGCACTGGCCTAGGCCGCACGAGGAAACGTAGACTAAGGACCGGTCAGCAAAACCACGGGAAACCATAGGAAACCCTAGGCAAACCATAAGAAAACCATAGGACAAATGCTGATTTAACCAAGAAAAAGTGTGATTTCATCGGATTTGTAGCTGATTTCAATTATGATAGCTAGGTTGACGCAGAGATCACTTGGTTAACTATGGTTTACGGGGGATATAACTATACTTAATAGGGATACAGACCAAGTTATAACTGGGGGAGCCTCACCTTGTAGATTTGGGAGAGTGCACTGACTGTGCATGGGTCTTGTTCATCCCACTATATATAGTATGTTAATTCATATTGGTGCTATCCGATGCAATATACTATACTGGTTGGTGGTTCAATGCCGTAAAAATTATATACTCGTCATTGGGGGTCATCATCCCATTTCTATGGTTGAAACAAACAGATTTTTGAGACCACGAAGCACTAAAAATATTGCAAGCCTTTATGCTTGGGCCATTTGTTGATGCCAATATGCGGCCTCATTGACCACTAACATTCCCTGCTAAGTCGGAGCATTGCCATCGCAACTCGAAGCATGTTGCGATGACAATACTCTCTGGATCTCTCGGCGGTAACGTACTCCAGCAATGAAAACTGTTGGACCAAATGGTTGAGCTACCCTCCATTAAACTAATACAGCTATGGAGTAGATTATTTACCTATTTAAAAAAAAAAAAACATTTCCATAGCTATGTTAGTTTACCAGAGGGTAGTTCATAATTCGCAAAAACTCATTGGTACAGTGGTAGCTCCACTAGCTCCTACCAGCTACAAGGTGATGCGATGATGACTTCCACAACTGGCTGGAGGATACCACATCAAATACTTGGTATCCTCCAGCAATTATCAAATACCAATTATGGAAGTGATTTTTTGGAAGATCATAATTGTTTTTTCTTGTCGTGGCTGTTCCAAATACAGCGGCATTAGCTCCCAAAAAAACACAAATAACCTCTGGTAATTTAACATAGCTATTGAAAATTACCATTAATAGTGGATTTGCCCATTGAAAATGGTGATTTTCCATAGTTATGTTAGTTTACCAGAGGGTATCATCATCTTTCATCTCAAAATTACCCGATACAGTGAGGCGTTCGCTCCGCCCATGTTCTGACAAACCCAAGATTTTCACATGGTTTTCATGACGCATCCCATCATATCGAATACCGTATTCCCATGGAATATCCCCAGTACATTCCCATCATGGGACCCATGACATCACCAAATGATGGTTCGTTTTATACCCTCATCTTTGGACAAAGCAGTGATTCAGAGATGTTCCCTGTTTGTGGTTGGTATATGTTGGTATATACTCTTGTTTTTGTTGATGCTGCAGCCATTCCCATCATGTTCTATATATAAACACCGTTGAAGTGTTATAATCTAGATCTATGCTTAAGAGTCAGCTTTTCATAGTTCCCACCATACCCTGTTTTAGGATTTGGGGATGATAAAAATCCATCATACCCTGTTTTTTTCATGATCAGACCATGTTAGAGCAACTTTCTCACGGCCACCCATATCTTGGCCCACAGACCCTCGCTAAGACTGTATTGGCTTGCTGGATTAAGCCCTGAGCCGCGCGAATTGGTGAAACAGCGTCCACCGGACTTGCTTAAAGGAAAACAAATATATTACATAGATTATATATATATATGTATATTATATTATATATATATGTATTAAATATATATATATACACATGTGCCATGGCCAAAAGGTGGCAGATGTGGCATGGTCATCCATTCCATCATGGGAATCCTTACAATGGGATACACTGGGTATATACATCCCTGGTGTAGAATGGATTGATGAGTCTATCTTTTGACTATGGCACATACCTATGTACATGTGTATATATATATATATGTATAACTCAAAAATCTACATGTATATATATATATATACGTGTATATATATATAACTTATATAATTAATGTATCTATATATATAATAAATATGTATATATATAATATACATACATATGTTTAGTAAACCTTGGTAAACGTGATTGCTGGCAGTGAAAATTCCCCCTTTGTTTGGCCCATCAGACTTTGGGATTGCCACCGCGCTGGCGGTGGCGGGTGGTTACATCACCATGATAAAAATCATTCCATATAGGAATAATTATATGGAATAATTTTTCCATAAATCGCCATATGTTCCACAAATTAAAAAGATATTTTCCCCATATGTTGGATTGGAAATTCGGAAAATATATGAAAATATAGATATATAATGATATATACCTTAAGAAAACCCAGGATTGTAGAGATCAAACGGGAGTTTTTAAGTGGCGATCAAAATAAAGCAAGGAATCACTGTTCGATCTTTTTGGGAGAAGCCCCGATCAAAATTTTCAAGTTTTAAACAAGTCCACAATTGGTTGAAGGAAACTCGAAAAAAAAAACAAAGCATTTTCCTCCAAATGGGTTTCCTTCAATCGACCCGGTGACCGAAAAAAACAACTCAATTGTTGATGTCTACCTTCTTCCACAATTATGGCGAGCAAAATCTACTTTCTGGATCTTTTTGGATATATTCGGCAAACAAAACATGATACGTTTTACTTAACATGAATTTCTTTCCCATCTTCCAGATACAAGTGGGAGGAAACTGGGCAGATAAAGAAGTATACAAAGTGACCAATTTACCCCCCCTTGGTGCTACAACTCACGCCTCCACCACGCTTTGCGCCATCATCGCAGCTTCCTGATCCTCGTTGCTGGTCCAGAGCCGCGCTATTCGGTGAAACCTGCAGCGTGGAAAAACGACCTGGTCTGGAAGGACCCCGGCAATGGTGGCAAATAACGGTTCGTTTTTGCTGACTTAACATGAAAACATCTGGAAATATCTGGAAATAGGCGAAATCCAATGCCATGGCCATCGGTTTGCCAAGATTTAGCACTTGGGAAAAGAGAGGAATGCCGGAGATTCCCGGGTTGGGCCGACCTTCATTTTGGATGTCAAAACCAATTGCTGAGGGGTGGGTTTAGAACTTGATCAGTTGAGCTTCACCAACAATTTGGGGCATCGGTTCGGTGTTTCTCAATCTTTCAATGTTGATGTGTCCTCCATCTTAAGCCTTAAAGCCCCACGTGGATGCCGCCAAAAGTTTATCAACGATTACTTTTCGTGTCTGGTTCAGGTATGTCCACATCTATCATGCATAAATATAGAACATATATATATAATCAAACACATACATGTGTACAAAAAATACACCGTCAACAATAAATCCTTTATGTTTTTTTGTGGAGAAGGGACATGAAGGGACCATCTGATTGGGGCGTCGGTGCCCCGACGCTGTGGAGATGTTGACCAAATTCATCTGCGATGTGTACGCCTGGCGAGATCTGAAAAAAAAATAAAGTTGGATCACTGGTTGGTGGTTTCAACCCCTCTGAAAAATGTGAAAGTCAGTTGGGATGATTATTCCCAATATATGGAAAATAAAAAATGTTCCGAACCACCAACCAGATCATATTTGAGATAAATATGAAAATACATAGATGATAGTATAAGGATAGTATTCAAAATAACCATAATACCCGTTGAAAATGGTTACTGTAACATCCAGAGATGAGGGGTTCAACCTGGTGATAGAAGGTATGCTTAACCATTTCAACCATCAACAAAAAATGATGGGACCATGGTTGAGATGGGAAAGGTGCCGTATCCGTGGTTTATGCTAGTTGAAACTTGAGAACACAAATCCAAGATTGGATACTTTGAGCATCTTTGAACAAGATTGGGTACCATATCATGTCATATGATATAATATAATATCATATCATGTGATACTATATCATATCATATCGATCCATATCATATCATGTCTCCATACTATACCATGAATACCATGTTTTGCTTTGTAATTCATCAATTATTTCTGTTTGCCTCCCATAAAGGAGTCACTGCGACTTACACTTGCACAATTCCCAAACCAAGACAACATACTAAAATTGCCACACAAAAACATATACCAACATTAATCATGTTTAACCTCAAACAAAATGTATCGCCAAACAATTGATTTTCAATCCTCGAGTAACCCTTGCAATTTGGTGGCCAGAGGTTCCATCAACACACCGGACTCTGGGTTGGCCAGTATTTTCTGTGAAACTCATCATTTTCCCTATGAGAAAAAAAACACAAATTGGGGTTATACAACCCATGTTCAGACACAGAAGTCATGGTGTGTCATTGATATATGAACGATGTTTGGGATAATTATATATAATATCAAAATATAGACATAAAAATTGGGGATCTATCATATTGTTAGTGGATTGGTTACACCTTCCCAAGACGTATCACAATGATTCATCTATCAGTATAGCAACCTCTTGCAACCCCCACAAAAATAGAAGCATGTTTCCAGGATGGTAGTCCGATGATACGTTCCCCATAATTTCCAGACTTCCAACTTTTCGGCATCTTTTTGGGGCATTACTACAAGGCAAAATCTCCCCTGGCGCCGCCGGCCCTTCCTGGCAAGTCTGAGAGAGCTCCATCAGACTTCCAGACCTTGGTGAATGGCAAATTCCCACTTTCAGCTGGAAATCTACAGAGGAAGTTCTCTTCAAAGCACCCAAAATGCTCGCAAAGCCAATTGTGCTTCAAAATTGAGCCAGCGCAATGTTGTGGGCGAGTCATTACCGAAGGAAGTTTAGAAGTCAAATTTCCGACTTATAGACAAATGCAACAATAGCGGGGAGAGCCGTCAGAGAAGAGAAAGAATCAGTAGAAACAGGATCAGTAAAAAGAAGAGCAAGGCGCGCGAAAAGGTAAAGTTGCGAAACGTTGTGCTTCTCCAATGCTTGTGGCTCCGGAGGTTCGAAAAGTAGGCTGGAGACATCTGGGGAGAGGAGAGATTAAAAGTTGCACGCCGCTGTGGCGCAAAGCAGATTTTGAAGTCAAAAATGCTCAAACCACCTGGGTCTCGGAACACTTTTGGAAGTTGAGATGTCGAAAAAGTCCACGCCTGAGGTCAAAATGTACGAAACACCGCAGGTGCGGAGCACTTTTGGCAGTTGAGCCGAGCCGTTCAAAAAGCAGATGCCATTTTGGCGCGAAACACATGTCGAAGTCAAAATCTAGAATGCACCTCACTTTTGGAAGGAGCACTTTTTGAGGTCCGGATGCGGTTTGGCCTGGCAGGCGCATATGGATTCTGCACCTTCTCAAAAGTGAGCCAGATGTGTGGGTTTGATTTGGGTTTGCAGCAGTTTCAAAAACGATGGCAGGCGTGGGACGTTTGAAGAGGATGTGTCAGGATGCATGTACTGTGACAGGTGCAGCACTTCGTATGACCTGGCTTCACTTTTTCGTGGCAGGCGCAATACTTTAGAATGATGATAGGACGGAAAAATCGCAAAACGCATTGGTACGAGGCCGTCAGCTCTGCACTCAACTTTTCGGTTTTGAAGTAAGTCTCGCAGAATTGCTTCGTTTTTGGTGTTATCAACGTCAAAAATTGAGGAGTCTCGCAGAATTTCTTCGTTTTGAAGCTGTGCGCTGTCATTTTTTGAAGAAGCCTTGCAGAATTGCTTGAGTTTGGAGCCGTCACCTTCCACTTGTGAAGAAAGTCTTGCATTTTTCTTCCTTTGAGATAGAAAGAAAGATAGATACATAGATAAATAGACAGACAAAACAGATAGATAGATACATAGATAGATAGACAGACAGATAGATAGATAGGTAGATAGATAGATAGATAGTCCAGTCAGATAGACAGATAGATACATAGACAGACAGATAGCTAGATAGGTAGATAGACAGATAGACAGGTAGACAGGTCGGCAGATAGACAGACAGACAAATAGATAGATACATATGACAGAGATAGATAGACACAGAGAGAAGGAAACAGAGATATAGAGAGAGAGAGAGATGGAGAGACTCAGAGCCTCAGCCACCTTTGGGTCCATCAGTTCGCTCTGCCATCCATGTCTCACAACAACTCACCTCTCCTGTAGGTTTCCTATTTTTGAAACCTCCGCCACCGCCTTGTGCGGTCCTACTTGTATATACTTGCAATCAAACATAGCTAGCTGTAAAATCCCAAATTTGGTTCGATGATATTCCCAACAAGACTTCCATTTAAGATGAATTTAGTTCGGGAATTTCCCGGTCACCCTCCATGTTTGATTTATCGGAGGGTGTATATATATATATATACTGGTCCAGTATATATTTATATTTATATTTCCTATTATATCTCAATTATTGTCCGATATATTCCTATAGTTCTTGGACAATTCCGGATTGTGCCAGCGGCGCTTCCAAACGGTGCCATGACTCACCCCGTGGTGCCATGATGCACGGATACCCTTTCGAAATGATCATGGAAACATAAGAAAAACGGGTTGAAACATGATGTTTTTATTGGAAATCTTACTTGTGCTTAGTAGGGAATTTTCGGGAATGATCCACAATAACTATCAATTTCATCATCCCAGCAACCCCCATTTTCCCATCCATTCCCTACGTAAAACGCACCAGTAAGAAATGGCTTAGTTATCTCAGAGATATTAGCCCATCTCTTTTTTTTCTTCAGCTTTGACCGACAAAAACTCGCCAAAATTTTGGCTCAGCTCGTGGCTCTGAAACCGTGATGATTTGGCTGTTGATCCATGGAAAAGTATCCCGCTTCGCAGTGCCCTGGGTGAGAAATGGATAGAAATGGAGAGATCATGGGACTAACAATTGTACCAACTAATGAGGAATAGAGTAGAATAATATAGAATAATTAGAATAGAACTGGTACGAGCTAAATGTCTACCCGATATAATGGGGAGATATTGGGATGTATATTACATTGATATTACCCTCTGGTAATTTAACGTAGCTATTGAAAATGACCATTAATAGTGGATTTTCCCATTAAAAATGGTGATTTTCCATAGTTATGTTAAATTACCAGAGGGTACCAATACGAGATCTGGATTTATTTGGTTGTAATTCTATGATAATCCTTCCGGCAGTTTGAATGGAAAACATGATCTGAGAAACCACGGGAAGGAATGGGGTATACAATCTTAGATAAACCCCAAATGAGCCAGGTTGCGGTTGGTACAACAGTTTCCGGCCACAATCCAACGTGCAAGTGGAACAATTCTCCGAGTGTTTCTCCTTCCTGGAGTCCAAAATGGTGAGACTAAACTCCAATTGGCAGGTCGGGGGGCTGAATTTGTGCCCCATGACTCTGCCGTCATGTTCCCACTTTTCTTGTTGATTCAAATGATTTTCCCATACTTTGTCACTTCATGTCACTTCTATCCCGGCGCAGCATGGTTGCCTCCACATCTTTTCCTGTTTACATGCTACTGTATACTTCTATCGCTTTCCATCCATAGATCTCCTCTTTTTTGTGACTTCCATTCTCCTTGCACATTTTTCGGAGGTTCAACTGATCTTTTACAACTGGCCTGTTTAACCGACCTTCCGATTTGCAACAGATACAAAAACATACAACTGGTTGATATCCCACATCTCCCAGTTTTTAAGTGCCCTTTCTCTGGAAGTTGTTGTGCCTGACGCCAGCGTGGGCGAGCTTTCTCAGCAGGTTTCTTCTTGGCACCTTGGAGTTCGGATTGCCAATGGAATGATGAATGTGCCATGGTCAAAAAAACATGGGATTAATAGTTTTTGGTCATGTTATATTATAAATATATATATATATATATATGTATTCCATATTATTCCATCTTCCATGTGCAGAAGATTTTGGAGCGCAAATCAAAACCTGCATCATCGGCATATAAGAATTCCCACATTTGCATTGACGTCTTTTTTGGTGTGAAGGACTGAAGGACTTGCATATAAACATATGGTATATAATATGCATATAGTGCAGTACAATACATCTTGGCCTATTCCCCCACCCACCATGCCACTTCATCCGCGCTTTAATAAAGGTCCTAAGCTCAATGCCGTAAGCTTCCAAAAACCTTCACAAACCTGCCTTTTCCCCACCTGCCAGGTCAGTGAGGATCTCTCAATTTTAACCTTTCTTCCTCGCCGGATGCAGTGGAGCGTGCCTGGACCAACTCCAAATCGCCATATCGCGTTCTCTGGAGGCAGCTAAGACAGGAATGTCAGTGTCAGAATATATCTCAGAAAGTATGTCAGAATAGATGCCAGATAGAATGTCAGAAAGAATGTCAGAAAGAATGTCAGATAGAATGTCAGAGTGTATGCCAGAAAACATGTCAAATATATATATACATGCCATATGCCATATGTACATCCAGGCAGTATGTCAGAATAGTGTGTCAGGGTCAGGATCACTCGAAGAAAGTAATTTGTTTTTTGGGACAATAACTGCCGTTCTTGACAAGTCATTGGAGATTCTTTATAGTTTAAGTTTTGAACATTGTTCTAGTTATTGGAGATTACACCACCAGTATTTATAGTCTAAGTAATTACTGTAGTCGATTGTTATTCTAGTCATGCTTTGTTTGTTCTACTTACGAACTGTTATTCTAGTTATTACTTACTGTACAGTTGTTCTAGTTATCAACTGTACCACTTAATAAGTCGGTTGTTAGTTATCAATTACTTTAGTTATGAATTACTAATTCTAGCTTGTAAGGGATAATTCTGGATCTTTTTCGAACTAAACTAATTTAACTGCTACCCTCTGGTAACCCGTAACATAGCTATTGAAAATGACCATTTATAGTGAGTTTTCCCATTAAACATGGTGATTCTCCATAGCTATGTTAAATTACCAGAGGTTACTCGCCCACGGCTCCGGGGCCGCTGCTGGGGTTCCCTCGCTCCTGGTGGCGATGTTGAACATTGGGGGTACCAACTAAGTACCATGTTAAGTCACTATTTGGAGGCTACCCCTAGAATGACTAGAATGACTAAACCATGGTTTATATTGATCCGGAATCCGGGGTTGACATTATGTATACATATATCATATATCATATATACATACATACGTATGGGGGGTTCATGAGGCTTCCTGCAAGTGTTCAATTCATCCCTAGTTTGGGCTGGATGGAATCTCGGCGATCCCTGGAATAAGGGATTGGGCCACTCACAGAACCGACAGCCCTCCACTCAGACTGAACTGGAAGATGTGTTTTTCTCCTGAGAAAAAATCGATGTGTGATCCACAAAAACTGCAGGCTGCCTGCGGATCTTTTCGGATCGGAATTTTTCTGGGGCAACATCTCCAACATGCTCCAAGAGGTACCCCATGTCAGCTCCAACTGTTCCAACTGTTCCAACAGTCTTCCCAGCCCCCGGCTCCACCATTTTGGCGAAGGACTCCAACCTTGGTCTAAGCAAGGCCCCAGCTGTGTGATGGCCATAGGAAGTGTCACTTTTCAGGCAGGGTACATGTGTGCATACATTATAATATATATGTTATAGTTATATATATATACATATTATAGTTGTAAGCCATGCGAATGCGTGAATTTTTATGTTCTATAATTTTGCATATAAAGTCAGAGAGGGTGGAGACTCAGAAAATCCCCCAGTTAGTCGGGCATAGACCTCAGAGCACCAAAGAGGTTAGGCATCTTGGAAGCCCTGCAAAAGAGTAAACAAACTAATCTGGTTGGTGGTTTCAACCCCTCTGAAAAATATGAAAGTCAATGGGAAGGATTATCCCATATATTATTGAAAATAAAAAATGTTTGAAACCACCAACCAGTAATAGATGGACTTGTACCCTTTACTCTAACCTGGCAAGCCTGGCAATGGACTATCCCTCGTCAAGTATGATTTTATCGATAGTTTTTTCCATTGCATTGTTTACCCTCTGACTCTGGTAATTATATATATATCTAATGAACATGGCCCAGTTTGTTCGATGATCTACCTAGGAAAAATAGTTATTTTCCATAGCTATGTTAAATTACCAGAGGGTATGTACCAAAGGGTGAGCCCTTGTTGGGCTATAACACCCGGACTGGGGACATCGAGTTATTGGTTGCGACCCTGCAAAACCGAACCTCCTTTCAGCCTCTTTCTGGGATCTCCTTTTCAAAAATGGGGGAACCCCCAAATCACCGAAAGATGACGTCATTCTGGACGGGGAAAGCATTGGTTTTGGGGTAATGTATGGTAATGTGGTCCATGTATGTCCATGTAGTAAACCCAATTTCATAAACCATTCCCAAAATCGCCATAAATGGATTGTATAAACTATAAACCATCTCCAAATGGCAGGTTTATTATGTATAGGCACCCTCCAGAACCAGAGCACCTCGGTGGTCAGCCACTCAGCCAGTCGTGAGCATCGGGCGCGAGCGGCTGTATCTGTCCTTAAAAGCCAGGCTTGTCCTACAAGGTCGTCGGAGCGGTTCAGTTCAGTGCGTTATGCATTCCATACGGCAAGGCTCACACATGTGATGGATTGTGTTTTTTTCCTATTGCATAATTGATGTCATTGTCATATATGTTCATATGATAATAATCTTGTGGGGTGTCAGCTGGTGAGCTGGCTGAAGGTGGTCTGTTTGTATGTGACAGTTCATCTTCAGCTAGAGCCAACACGAGTTGCACAAGCGAGAGCAAGGGGTTGTGAAATGTATTGGGGGCCAGTTTGGATCCCGACCCCTGTTGCCAATGGCGCAAATGCGGAAACATCCACGAGAAAGGCTACAGTAGTCCCAGTCGGGCTGCAGCAAACACTCCACTTTCTTTGCCGGTGCACAAAGTGCGTTTGGGATTGCTCTACCTTTGGCAGAACAACAACCAAGACCAATGGTCTTGAGGTATTTCTCCCAGGCCATCATCATGTTAACTGTTAAGTGTTTGGTAGATATATCTAGAGTTCATGAGGTGTGTAAATCAACAAACATAACTTCGGGGGCATCATCATGCATCAAGCAACAATCGACTTGTGGGTCAGATTTTTTGAGACACACATGAGACTTGGGTTCCACAGATTATATATGGTCATATCCATGCATTTAGAAGCTAACCCGGGAGAATTTGGCTGAGAGCATGAGGTCTCAAGAAGATGTTCCAAAATGTCAACATGTCTTGGGTCAAAACTAAGTCACAGGGTCCTTTCTTTGCCCCTATATAATTGGCATCCACGTTCGATTTCTGTGTTCTCTGGGACACAGGCCGAGGATGTAACTTACATCTTGTCCCGGAATGTGTTTAAGGGAACCAGATGAATCCCAATAACACAACATCCAATCACTGTAGACCTCATGAAAGCTGAGATGTTCAAGTGGTCAACCAAAGAAAAAGGAAGACACACACACACACAAAATTACCAAATGTAATCTATATAATATATAGTTATTTTATATTATTTTATAAGTTATTTTGTGTCGCCAAAAACAATGCTACACATCTGATTTTCTGACCTCTGCTCACCTCGCGGGCGTCCAGACTGATGGAGTCGGCCCAAAAAAATTCGGCGAGGCTTCGGCTCGAGAGTCCCCGAGCCGAGTTCGAGACTTCGGAAGGGCAGTGGCCCGCTTCGGTGGGCGTCAGTTTGAAGCTTCATGACCCCACTATGGACCAATGGATTTCTTGGAACTCAGGGGATTATTTCCTCAATTTCGTTGGAAAATCATCCTGCTGTCATTTTCCACACGATGTTTTGGGTTCGTGTAAGGCCTTTCTGGGTAACCTGTGTATGTTCAATCAACTTCACAAGGGACCATTTTGAAATGAGAACTCAACCCAGGCAATCAATCTATTCAGCCCTGAGGGGAGACAGACGGTAAGTCGTCTTCCCCTTTCGGCGGCCAGCAACTCCATGTTTAATGGGTAAATCATCATGAATCATCTATAAATGAACCATTTTCCATAGCTATGTTGAATAACCAGAGGGTATGTCTAAATAGACACAGTTAAGGTCACTCTCGAGCCACAAAGCGTCACTGCTTCACGCTATTCAGCACTTCCTGACAGGAACGTGGCATCCATTTGCCACTTGAGATTTGTGCATTTCTACGATTAATACCAGTAGTGAATGAAACTAAGGCAGCCTGATTGGATTAGAGCCCAAAGATGCAACAGTCCCACAGCACCGAAAAAGGGAATAGAAAAATATCGTCACAAATGGCACACGTCCAAACAGAAGTTTCCGTTCCAAACACTTGCACGTTCCACGCAGTTCTGCAAACGCACAAATATCCATGAGATTCACAAAGTTCAATGGATTGGTTTAAGGGAAAATTTACAGGGAAACCCCATATTTAATGGGAAAATCTATGTTTTCCTGTAGATTTTCCTTAAGCCAATCCATTGAAAAGTTCCACTTGAAAGTACTCAAAGATATCACTCCACCATCGATCGGCAAGGTTGAAGCCGCAAAACCAGAAAACGATATTTGACAAATAGCTTTCTAGCCTTATGATGGCGTCGGCCCCATTGGTAGCGTAAGCCAATCATTGCCAATGTGTACTTTCTAAAGTTAGATCTTACGCTCCACAATCCAAAACATCTGCGTCGTTCAGCATATACCGATACCATCCGATACCCCATAGTTCAACTACCTATTGAATATGTTTTTCAGAAGATCCCCACAAAACCATGGGATTTCGATGTCATTTTGGGGTCCAAAATAATTCTTGGCCGAAAATTTGCCTATGGGGGATCACTGTGCCACGAGGGTTTGTCATAGGGTAACCCATTCCTCTGGTGAAACTCAGCATGATCCCTATTCTATAAATGGCGATCATTTGAGAAATCCCAGTTTCAAGCCCAAATTCTAGTTCTTGGTGATATATCATGATATATATATATATATATCAATTTTCTCCCCTTTATCTCTCATTGGTATACTTGAGAGTGCAGTTGCGTTCACCTCCATCAGTTGGGACACCCCCAAGAAAACCATGTATCCACTGGATGTTTTTAGGGGAACTGCACTTCCAAGTAGTCATCAAATCTCCCATTCTCATTACTATTATTACTAATTAGTATGTATATAATTGTATTATATATATGTATATGTACTGTAAAATTAAAATACATATATAATATCATATATATCCCATCAATGAAACTTACATAACACTATATATATATAATATACGTATATAGAATTGATAAATATGTAAAGTAGTCCCAAAAAACGATAGAAAAGTATAGAAAAGTAACATCCCACCCTCGTTCTCGCGCCAGGGGGCCGCAATGAGTTCCACGTTTTTGCTGCTACTGAGCACCAACTCGTCCAAGCGTCCAAGTCGAACCTCCGACTTCGGGAAAACACCAACGGTGAATGGAAGAATCATGTGGAAAATACCTGGTTAATTGTGCATGATATGAATTTAACTATTGACTTGTCTACTTCATTTGGATCTTGTTGGGGACTTGGAGAAGTAATTTTCATGGTATTTTCATGGCATACTATCTGGGATTATATCATATTATATCATGAGCGAAACTGGAAGAAATTGCGAAAACTTATGTCTGACCAACTTGATATATGACTCAATATGACATGACATAAGTTTTGCGGCCCGGAAAAGGCGAAAAGGCTTTGCCAGCCACACGTGTTGCCAGTTTTGCGGCTGGGACACTGCTGATGAACCGATGGACCCAATGGATTCATGGGATTTTATGGGTATACCGAGTATTTTCAGAGGATACCCTCTGGTGAACTAACATAGCAATGGAAAATCACCATTTTTAATGGGAAAATCCACTATAAATGGCCATTTTCAATAGCTATGTTAGTTCACCAGAGGGTATATCATATGGGGATGGGTCAAAACCCTGTCCGTCCCCCTTTTTTGTTCACATCAAGTCATAGCTGGGTTAAAATGGATGTGAATAACCCCCTAAAAATGGTATTTTCATAGGTATTGATCCATCAACATATCTATGCAGTTGTGTAAATATGCAAAGAAAATCTGTTCTCATGATAATAGAACACCCTATTTTCAGACTTTCCAGACAGACCCAGGGCTGGCCGGACCACTATTTCACCCCATTGGGGGGAGGGGTGGTTCAACCACTCAAAAGCCGCAGGTGTCCCCAAAAAAGCGTCCCTTCCAGTGGGAAGTGGGTGGTATACAATATACAGTAACCCGCAGTGTAGAAGCGATCAAGTAACCCCTGCGAGTTGGGAGTAGTTGTGGCTCCATGATTTTCTTCGCGTATCACCCAAAGTAGGGTACAGTTCAGGCCAACATTCCATGGTTTCAAACCTCATTTCCCATGAAAATAGCGGACAAAAAATGGAAGCATACAATGGAATGCCCTCTGGTCAGTTCACATTGCTATGGACAATGGCCCAGTACCAGACGCTACACCCACTTTGGAACAGATCTTCT